GAAAGGTCAAGTAAAAAATATATCGTGCAGTAAAATTTATTTAAGAGTTTTTTTTTATATATACTTTTATTGACACCAATTTAAGTAGTTACAGTTATTCTCCTTATAAACTATTACATTTTTGAAATACACATCATACACAGGTTCAAAATATCTACTTATTCATTAACAGTTCAAAATTCTAATTCAAAATATCTTTATTCATGTAGGTCTATTACAGAATCTTATTATATGTCAAATCTACCGTCAGTTCGGAATGATTTCGAGATGAGAAGAACTGACAAGAAACTCAGCTCGTATTCTTTTCAAATAATTCTTATACATCTTTACAATAATACAGATTCATTTTTAAATTCATACTTGGGAGAATAGAGTGACCACCAGCATATGGTAATTGCAAAGCAAATAGTATAATCAGTGTTCGTAACCTGAACAGACCAGTCCTGAGCAGCCTGAGCAGCACCCGGGCAGTATTGAGTCTAAATTCTAGTATTATTGATTCTAAATTCTAGTGTTATTGATTCTAAATTCTATAATAATATGCCCTGATGATTAAACTGAGTTCAAATAATTGAAATCGTCTTGAATAGGAAGTGAATGTTTTATTTTTGTTCATTCATAGCAAATTGGTTTATGTTTTACAATTTAAGTGGTTAAGTAACAATGATATTTAACAATAAGTACACAGTTATATAGCTCACCCGGCCAACTTCGTCTTTCATTTCCCCACCTTCTGCAATATTTTTCATTGCAGCTCCGCTCCTATTAGTCGTAGCGTAATGTTATATAGCTTAAAGCCTTCCTCGACAAATGGACTATCCAACTCAAAAGGAATTTTTCAATTCGAACCAGTAGTTTCTGAGATTAGCGCGTTCAAACAAACAAACTTTTCAGCTTTATAATATTAGTGTAGATTTATAAGAGCGAGATTGTAATCTTTTGTTCTGACTCGAAGGTATTAATGAAGAGAAGCTAAAACAAGCAACTGGTTGATGTAATTGTGTGAGTTATTGTTTAGTGCATTATTTAATGCCACAGACTATGTTACATATGTTTTCAGTTACGGTCTGTGAACAGATGTAGTTTGTTCTTATATAGTAACTAACTTTAAGTTATAACAATCATGATTTTTTTGTCTATGCAAATATATAGAACTATCTGTGCCCACTGTTTCAATTTGAAACGTGCGAATACAAATCACCAACTAGCACTAATTTATTAGGATCAGATATTAAATACACAATAGGATTAAAACAGTCATAGTGATTTGAGCAGACCAGTCCCTACAAGCAGCACTCGTTCACGAGTATGACGTATGAGCTAGCTATCACTGCGCTCGACCATATTTTAGGGAGCCCAATGACCCGGCCCATCATATATATTTGGACATTTTAATAAGCATGACTACTCAATCCACTCGACCACGTCATAACTACTAAAATTACCATATGGTAGATATAGTATTCGTAGTAGAACACATTTATATAGGTGACGGTTATATATAAGCGATGGTCACTTACCATCAGGTAGACGCTCACCATTCCTATTACATAGAAAAACATATAATTCTCATAAACTGGTTAAAGAAGATTACGAATCTTCCTACTATATAACTGCAAACTTTTGAGGGTCATATTAGAAAATGGCAAGATTTTTAACAAGTTTTCAAACATCGACTTTCAAAGGTCGGTATTACGTGAACAAGCTGATTTTGGAGTGTTTGCTTAGGGTACTCAAATATTGTAAATTTGTAAGTAAATATAAACGTTTTCACACTTTTTAAAGAAGTGTCTGTAGGCGATAGTTTCGAGGTCTTCAAATAATTGCGTTGGTTATGATTTTCTATAGGTTCACAAAATATTGTTTGTTATTATATCGAAGACCTCATTGATATTGCGGTTTAATGTACTATCGCACTTTCTGATAGTAATGAGTTCGATACTCGGAGTATACAAATATTTGTATTGTATTAGTTCGGGGTTTATTCTTATTTGGTGATATTGACGGCTTCGCTGGTCTAGCGGTTAACACACCGCTTTATTTCCGATGGTCTTGGGTTCGATTCCTCACACGGTTCAAAGATTTGTATTCATTAGTATGACTGTTTGTATCGGTCTGGGTGTTTTCTATGTTTATTGTGTATGTATGTATTTACAAAAAAAACTTTTTCTGTTGTCTAGTACCCATAACACAAGCTCCGCTTACAGTGGGACTAGATGGTGCTGTGTTAATTGTCCAGGGTTATTTATTATTAAATGATACTACGAGCGTATTGGGTACTTCTTCTTGCAACATTTAATTGTTTACTCGTGAATAAAACTTTGACGGACCAAAATATTTTCGCATGAATAATATTAGTATGATATTTTTTTACAGTTTAAATTAGTTTTTAAACTACATAAATAACAATTATATTTTCCGTTAACATTGACTAATGCATTCATATGTACGTTGTGTTTCTTCTGCTGTCGCGGAAACCGTGATGTGGGAACAGGGTCGACAGTTTTAACTCGAACTTCTGAAGAAGCTGCTTACGCCCGTTATGCACCAGATTAATTTTAATTTCTTTTCTATGAACCACTATGTGTGCCCGCGACTTTGTTTGCGTGTACTCATACGTTAGTAGTTTCCATCTGTAGGGTCCTATAGGACTTTTAAATTAAAAGGTTGATTTATGGACTGGAAATTCGTGTAATAATTTAAATATAAAAAATACAGAGAATGAGAGAATATGGAGCGCGCGTGTAGTGTCCGGTGGCGAGATCAGAAGTGAGGGCCGGTAGAGCCGCGCCCCGCAGCATTGCTCGCGGACTCCAGTCCGGCGAGCCGACATGTCCGAACACCATCTATTGATAATAACAATAGATGTCAATAAATAAATCATAATTTTATTAATAAAACTAGCTGATGTTGTTTCCCATAAAAAAATGTTTTGGGGTAGTTCCACCCTTATAGAAATATAGTAGAATAGAATAGAATAGAAAATCATTTATTCAAATAAACTTACATTGAAGCACTTTTCATAATAATAGAATAAAGAATAGTCATAACATTTTTTTTTAATCTACCGCTCATTCGGAATGCTGTCTCATCACAAGAAGAACAAGCAAGAAACTTGTGTGTTGCTCTTTTAAATAATTTATTCTTACTTACAATTTAAGTTTAAGTGTGTGAATACAAACCACCGATTAGCACTAATTCAATGAAATAATAAAACAGAAAAAAAAACATTCAATATACAACAACTGGTTAAACAATTAATAAGAGAAAATAAGTCAGAGTGATTAGAGCAGACCAGTCCACACAAGCAGCACCCGTTCACGAGTATGACGGATGAGCCAGCCACCACTGCGCTCGACCATATTTTAGGGAGCCCAATGACTCGGCCCACCACGCCGCCACAAGTCTGGACATTTTAGTGAGCATGACTACCCAAAACACCAGACCACGTCATAGCTACTCACAATTGTATTCAGTAGGTATGAGAATAGTTAACGTCCTATTCTCATACCTACTGAATATACTTACAAAATTTCATAGGAATTGGTCATGCTGTTTCAGAGGAGTTTTGTTTCAAACACTGTAACATAAGAATTTTCTGTATTAGGTTTTTTTTATATCATAATTTGAGCGCGTTTGACCGCAATCTCACCTGATGTTAAGTGATGATGAGTCTAAGCTGTTATACGTAAGCTCAAGGTAATGGGATGGTTGGAACGTCCACGTAGTTGGAACAACCAACCATCGTTGGACGATGGTTTCCAAGGGAACCGCGTAGACTCGACCTTTTTTTTTATTAGTTTGTTTGGGCTATTGTCAGGTGTTTTTTTTTGAGGGTTGATAATGGAATGGAGCACCCGCCTGCGCTAACGGTTTACGCTGGCGGGGCACCAGTGGAGGATGATAAGATGAGCATGAGGTCAGGTCAGTTAGCCCATCGTGACAAATTCACCAGGAATTTAACACGATGGTTTCCAGGGGTAACCGCGTACATTGCTAGCAATGGGGTTATCAATCCACATTACCAACAATCCCCTCCCCCCTGTTGTCAGGTGTTTGTAGCCCCTGTATCACTGCGACCTACATAGATCTATTGTGCTCGCCCTTTTCCAGAGTTCGCTACCTAGACCCGTCAGGGACAAGAATTGAAGGATGTCCTTAGGAGCGATGGTTTTTTATCTCCTCGGGAAAGAGTGTAAACTTTCCAAAGGAGATATTTCGTTTATGCATGAGTGGGCTACAACTCTTACATGCTATTACTAACAATCCTCTTCCCCCATAGGAGTGTAGTTATTCGACATTGTATATCCGAGGAAAGCAAGGGCGAGTCACTAGTAGTGAATATATTTAAATGCTAGACTTAACATCTAAAGGTTTACAACATTGTTGTATATGTATTAAAGTTTATATAGCCACGATGGTCTAGCGGTAAGATGTGTTACATCTTACGTCCGGATGCTGCAGGTTCGATTCTTCGAACCATGAGATCATATTATGTATTCAAGGCTACGATTGTTTTTATCAATTTCGGTCTTCTCTATATTATGTATGTATTTATAAAAAATATGTAAGTAAGTTAAGTATTTTTGACAGTTATTACATATACGCATAACGTGGGCTTTGTTTAACTTGAGATAAAATGGCGTTGTGTAATTGTTTTAGGTTATTATTATTATGGAAAAGGACAATTATAATTTACATATAACAGAATTACTCTAAGAAAAAAAATTTACTATATTTCACGTAGTCTCATTTTTTTTTATACCACTTAGGTGGCAAACAAGCATAAGGCCCATCTGATGGTAAACGGTTACCGTAGCCTATGGACGCCTGAAACAACAGGGGTTTCACATACGCGTTGCCTACCCTTAAGAAACCTTAATATACCCTTCTTGAAAAAACCCATGCTGTAGTCTCTCGAGAAAATATAGGTAGTTTAGTCCACAATCTAAGTGTACACACTTAAAAATGTATCATAAAATCATAAATGTTGTTCACAGACTGATATCACTGGAAGTGACACCCCGCCCGGAAATACAATGCGAGGCGGTCGCGTGGCGTTTGGTGGGGTTACTTGGCGGAGACCAGGGTTCAGGTCTCCGCGCCAGGACCTGTCGACTAGCCAGTGCGCTGGTCCACTACACGCCGGATACCAGAGATGCTATAGACGCGAGGAGGAGGCAGTTGGATGCTGCTGTACAGGGTGAGACAGTTTATCCAAAATATATACATCTAAGTATCTCTATTCATATAGGTTTAATTGCAGACACAAGTAATAAATCAAATATACCGTCAGTTTTGAAATTAGTTTGAGCCAAGAAGAATTGAAAAAGAACTCTGAGGGCAGAATTTTTTTCAATTCTTCTTGGCTTTTTTCATTTCGCATTTTTTTATAGCTTAGGAAATAAACATTCAGAAATTATTTCTTTGTAGGACATTTTAGCCGCTTATGAACGTAATTTTTTTATATTATAACTTTTCCCTACCGTCCAGTTCAGTATATAGATCCAATTGAGAAGAACTGGCAAGAAACTCAATCGAATTATTTATTGATTATTAAGAACGCCTCTAAATACTTAAAATAAATAAAAATATACGTCTTTGGAGGTATACTTTTTGGTATGCAGGGCATCCGTCATACCACAGATACTAAATCTCAAATAACGCTGTGCGTTAACGGAACATAAGGTAATGTAATATCGACCTTAAATATCAAGTTACAAGTTACATTCTCAGATGACGGTAATTAGAAACTTGTTGTATGGGAATAAAGATAGCCAATGCAAATTGACAAGCGGATGTTGAATGGAACAAAACCCCACCTTAATCTTCGTAGTTGCGTAACCTGATTGATTATGCACTCAACATCTTTTTATATATAAAATTCTCGTGTCACAGTTTTCGTTCCCGTACTCCTCCGAAACGGCTTGAGCGATTCTCATGAAATTTTGTGAGCGTATTGAGTAGGTCTGAGAATCGGCCAACATCTATTTTTCATCCCCCTAAATGTTAGGGGTAGTCCAACCCTAATTTTTTTTTTTAATTTTATGGTAAAACAACATTTGCCGGTACAGCTAGTATTCATATAGATTTCAATAAAATCTGTTGACAATAACAAATTGAGATGTTTGTCTCTATGTACCTACTAAATGATTGAATCATTTCTTATTATTCTCATAACTAATCTTCCTTCATTCTTTCCAAATGTATGTTTTCTATTAAGTATATGTATGTGTATGTAGATATGTATTAATATTTATATTTATGTATATTTGACGACCTCGGTGGTCTGGCGGTCAAGTACACCGCTTTACGACCGATGGTCACGGGTTCGATTCCTCGCACGGCACAAACATTTGTATTCATGAATGTTTGTATCGGTCTGGTTGTTTTCTATGTATAATATGTATGTATTTACAAAAAAAAAATATCTATGTATTTGTATCAGTTATCTAGTACCCATAACACAAGCTCTAGCTAGCTTAACTTGGGTCTAGATGGCTCTGTATGAATTGTCCTGAGATTATTATTATTATTATTTATTATTATTATATATATATTTTTTATTTATTACGTGCGCCACCTACCCTGTTCTTATTTTTATTTCTCTATCCACCTAAAGGTACTCAGGAAGAGATTGCTTAGCGATGAGACCGCCTTTTGTATCAATGTAAATCTTATATTTTAATTGTTTTTGTTTTTGTTCTGTAATTGGTGCAGTAAATAGTATAAATAAATATAAAAAAAATTTTATAATTTTTCAATTATTTCAACTTGATAAATATTTTAAAAGCAACATTATCAACACAAGATGAAATTGTCAACTCTACTGATTTCTGTCAACACGTCCGGCGACGTATACCAGTACCAACAATTAACACTACTTTTATTAAACACCAAGCTGTTTACCTGCATCCCTACATTTACAATAAAGTTTGCCAATTTCATTCATTTATTCAAATAAACTTACATTGAAGCACTTTTGAATAGTCATTACATTTTTTTTAATCTACCGCTCGTTCGGAAAGCTGTCTCATCACAAGAAGAACGAGCAAGAAACTTGCGTATTGCTCTTTTAAATAATTTTATTATTACTTTACATTTTTAAGTTTAAGTGTGTGAATACAAACCACTAATTAGCACTAATTCAATTAAATACTCAAATAGAAAAAATATTGAATATATAACCAACTGGTTAAACAATTAATAAGAGGAAATCAGTCATAGTGATTAGAGCAGACCAGTCCCTACAAGCAGCACCCGTTCACGAGTATGACGGATGAGCCAGCCATCACTGCACTCGACCATATTTTAGGGAGCCCAATGACCCGGCCCACCACGCCGACACAAGTCTGGACATTTTAGTGAGCATGACTACTCAAAACACTAGACCACGTCAAAGCTACTTACAATTGCCATCTGATAGTTATAGTATTCACATTTTACATAAGAATGCATGCGGCAATCAATACAAAAACCGCTACGCTTTCATATTTCTAAAATCAATCAATTAAATCAAGAAAGCAATGGCTTAAGAGGAGATTAAAGATATGCCTACTAAAAAATTAATAGATATTGTGTCAAATTGGTTAATGTCTTTGTCCTATGACACAGAGCTGATTCTAACTAACTGTAGTCGATGATTCTATGTAATGCTCAATTTACACTCAACCCGAGTGGGCAGGGAAGTGAGCAGCGCGAGAGTGTAAACACGAGTGGAAACACTTCCCATGCCATTGGCGCTGCCACTCGCGCTGCCCGGCGCTCCCTCGATTGTCGGTTTGTCGTGCGCGAGTCAAAGGACTGGCAGCGCGAGTGATAGATCCGGTTTATAATAAAATATTACGTCGAAAAACAACCGTCAACTTTCCGACAACTTTGTACAAAGTGTAGTATTACAATTGTTATACTTTCCGACAACTTTATACAAAGTCATTACGAGGAGGTAATTAAAATAGAGTTTGATATGACGGAATAGATTGTTAACTTATGGTTATTACTAGAGATGCGTAATACTTCCATGGTTTGCAATTTAATACATTAATTACATCGCGATGTGGAGTAATATTATGCGTTGATTGTCGTTGATAACGAATAATTGAAAGTTTCTTTGTTATATTTATGTAATGCCGCAACATTTACTGTAATTAGTATGTTATTATTTTAATAAACTAATTAATATTACTATCAAATTAAAAAGTTACGTGCGTTGTTAGAGACTGGCCGATTTGAGGGATGGTTGATAGATTTGGAATGTTTATTAAATAAAACATTTGATAACGTTTGTAAATTTGAATTGTTCTTTTTTTTAACTTTTTTTTTTATATTATTTTACCGGCATGGAAACGGTTACAATTTTATTTATATACTAGTAGACCCGGCCACGCGTTGCTGTCGCTAACAGTTTCTTTATATAAAAAAATAATATTGCGACTATAAAGTATGTAAGATGTAAGCTATCCTATCTTTCAAGTTGGATCAAATTGCACACTATGTGCAAATCTAATAATTAGAATGGTACATAAGACATTAATTTTAAATTATAATATTATAGATTATTCCATTTTAATATACCCAAAATTTGCATGCCCGTAAATTGGGGCAATTAAACAGTTGCCAATAATATTATTACCTGGACATATTATAATATCTAACTGTATAATACGCAAATAAATAAATTTCATTTCATTTCATTTCATTTCTAATTTGCAATCGGTTCAGTAGTTTAGAAGTCCATCGCGGACAAATAAAGATATATATGATTGTAACTATTTTTTTTTATATAAATTAAATACATATAATATAGTCAACATATAAAACATTGTACTAGAAATTATTTTGTTTATATAGTTTAAGTATTATAATTAATAAAAACGATAAACTGTTTGAGAAGAGCTCTTCTCTTCTCTTCTGGGTCCTGTGCCCAACAGAGTCTATAACTGATCTGCTGACTGTAAACCTAACAATGCTTAAAATAATATCAGGACAGTGGAATTATCTATCTACATATTGCCGTGCACTAATTATCACAGAAGTAGAGTTTGTACATTGTCTTTATAAAAAAAACAAAGGTCCACAACCTTTGTTTTTTTTTTGTGTGGGGAACTCTGTCTCGCCTTTTTCTACCATTAGACATTTGCTGTTTTGCCAAAAATTAGAGAGTTTGTTCATCGTTGTTTTTACGTGGACCTTTGTTTTATTTTTTTTGTGTGTGGGGAAGTCTGTCTCACCTGTTCCACAATTAGACACTTGCTGTTTTGGCAAAAAAGACAATAATAATAATAAAAATCAAAAAATAAAATATTGAATTTTGCTGACACAATATTAATGAAAAAAAAAAATTATAAACAACAATTTAGATACATTACAAAACATAGGCAACGTGGACCACAACTCAGCATAACGGTAGAGACAAAAGACTATCCTATAGACATAGCTTCATTTAGTCAGAAACTATGAGTAATAGACAATTGATATAAATATTTGGATGGTTTATGAATGCGTACATAATATATATAGAAAACATCCAAGCCGATACAAACGTTCTATTCACGATTTTATGTCGATCTGGGTATTTTCATGATGTGAGGAAACGTACCTGCGACGTAAAACCTTAGACTGCTGAGGGAGTCAATACGAGCGACACAAGACAATCTAATATAGATAGATAGATAAAAATAATATTTATGTTAAAAGCACACACACAATGCACTGTAATATATACAACAAAATTGAAAATGAAAAAGTAAATACATAATTACATTGGTCAGTCAACAAAATACAATATGATACAGTTACAAAAAGAAACAGTGTGAGTAACGTAGTGTGTGTGCATAGCCCATACGCAAAAAGGCAGCACCTCAGTGTATTGTTAACTGCATCCAAGCAGCAAACCACTGATATTCAGGCACTGCGCCGAGACATACGCCAGGACGCATGTAACAAGATCGGCGCATCTAACCAGCTCAATTTTTTTTATGGATGATAATGGAATGGAGCGTCCGCCTGAGCTAACGGTTTACGCTGGCGGGGCACCAGTGGAGGATGATAAGATGAGCATGAGGTCAGATCAGTTAGCCCATCGTGACAAATTCACCAGGAATTTATCACGATGGTTTCCAGGGGGAACCGCGTGGAGGTCAAACTGACATGGTTGCTAGTAATGGGGTCATGAGTCCACATTACTAACAGTCCCCTTCCACCCCAACCAGCCCTATTATATTATCATTTACTGTAAAAAAAAATACAGTATACTCTACATGTACTTATAAACTATTTTGCACACCGCTTTAATATCCGATGGTCGTGGGTTCGATTCCTCGCACGGCACAAACATTTGTATTCATGAGTATGATTGTTTGTATAGGTCTGGGTGTTTTCTATCTATAATATGTATTTATTTACAAAAAAAAATATATCTATGTATTTATATCAGTTGTCTAGTACCCATAACACAAGCTCTGCTTAGCTTGGGACTAGACAGCGCTGTGTGAATTGTCCTGAGATATTATTATATTTGGTTATAATACCAGATACATAAAAAAGAACTATAAAAATGTTCTCTCTAACCTTCTTTATAAATTAAGAATACTTCCTAATTTATGTACTTTTGATCAAGGATCTAAAATGAGGTCGAAATCATTATAAAACCATCATGATAATGGCAAAACCATGGAACAGTGGAAGTATGGATAATGCGTTTCCGCAGATATTCGATTCCGTGCGCTGGACTCCTAATGCCCCTCATTTCCTCCGATTATCGGAGCTCCGAAGTTTATTACGGAACGTATGAAGATTGTTTAATTTCCGTTTAATCGATGTAGCAAGATATCGATTCATATTTTGCTGTTTTGCGAGCGATGTTGAGCTCTTCCTGACTGAAGTTTCTAGAGTCTAACCGAAGTGGAAAATAAATAATCTTTCTACGAGATAAAGAACAGAATAGAAAGTCATTTATTCAAATAAACTTACATTGAAGCACTTCTGACGGACCGGAAGACGCAGAGTGGGAAGGCTTCCAGCAAGGTGGACCGACGATCTGGTCAAGATCGCTGGAAGGCAGATGGAGCAGCGCAGGACCGATCGTCGTGGAGATCTTTGGGGAGTCCTTTGTTCAGCAGTAGACGTATTCCGGGCTGAGATGATGATGATGATGAAGCACTTTTGAATAGTCATTACATTTTGTTTTCAATCTACCGCTCATTCGGAAAGTTGTCTCATCACAATGAATGAGCAAGAAACTTGCGTGTTGCTCTTTTAAATAATTTTGTTGTTATATTTTTAAGTTGAAGTGTGTGAATACAAACTACCAATTAGCACTAATTCAATTAAATACTCTAATAGAATAAATATTAAACATACAACCAACTAGTTGAGTAAATCAGTCGTAGTGATTAGAGCAGACCAGTCCCTACAAGGAGCACTCGTTTACGAGTATGATGAAGTTTATATTAACTTCTATAATACATTTTGACGGCCTCGGTGGTCTAGCGGTTTAGCACACCGCTTTACTTCCGATGTTCGCGGGTTCGATTCCTCGCACAGCACAAAGATTTTGTATTCATGAGTATGAGTGTCTGGGTGTTTTCTATGTATAATATGTATGTATTTAGAAAAAAAAAATCTATGTTTTTGTATCAGTATCTAGTACTCATAACGCAAGCTTTAGTTTAGCTTAACTTGGGTCTAGAACTCTAGATGGAGCTGTGTGAATTGTCCTGAGATTATTATTATTATTATTTAGCCAAGAGTGGATGTCACATAAAAACTTGTTGTCCGTATTGCTGTTCATATATGCATCAGTTACTGAGTACCATCATGTACTATTGTATTTGCCATCTAGACACGCGGTAGCGTGTCAAGCCGAGTTTCAAGTAAACTGGCCTGCAGCACCGTGTGTATATTTACACGAACCATTTGGAGCCACTTTTGACCCCCTCATAACTCAAAAACTCTTTCACACAAACCTGACAAATTTGGTTCATATATTGAGACTTGCGAGATAAATATGTATTCCGAATTTCATAAATATATCTCAAACGGTTATTTAGAATTTAATGTCCAAAAATCGTCATTTTTATCACTGATCAACTATAGATCAAAATTATAACCCACTTCCAGATGACCTAGGAAGTTCAAATTTGGCATGCAGATAGGTAATTAGGTGAATATAAAGGAAAAAAGAAACTGAAACTGGTTTATAGTTATAAGAAGAAATGATATTTTATATTGTTATAAATACATTTCAGGACAGACCATTGAACTTGGCACCCATTTAGATCTCATCTCTTTTGTCGTAGAAGTCAACAATCAAGGCATATATCATAATATTAAACTCGGCTATCATTTCACATTTATGTTTTTGATGGGATTATAATTACATTATATAACGAGCGTGCATGGCAATAGTTGTTCATGCACGGGATTTTCATTTAATGTTAGACATAGACACCTATATAAATATTCATTGTAAATAGCATGGCTTTTAAAAAAAAAGTAATTCAATTGAGCTTCTTGCCAGTTCTTCTCAATTGGATCTATATACCGAACTGGACGGTAGGAAAAAAATAAAATTATAATGTAAAAATTTGACGTTCATAAGCGGCTAAAATGTCCTACATGAATAAATGATTTTTGAATTTGAATTAATGTCTAGACATCCGAACATTCGACATTCGTAAGCGGCTAATATGTCCTACATGATTTTTTATATTGAATTTGAATTTAAATTAAAATAAATTGTTTCAGGTTTGGGTACTCATGGTTTGACAGCTGATTCATCCGGCACACTCATATCACTTCACGTGGCGATGAAGAATGAGCTCCAGCGACATGTGGACGTTTATAAGCAGGCGCTTCACAAACTTGAGGAGCTGGTACGAAGGATTTGTTTACATTATTCTTTAAGACTGCATATTCCAGGCTTGTCTACATATTGTTCGACATGATGCCTACGGCCACCTTTTACCACCGCACCGCTCGCCATCGACAGGGAATTCATTACCACACGCTGGAACCTAAGTGGTTCCGAACAGTGCGGTTGCAGAGGAGCTTCCTCCCGCGTACAGTTAGGTTGTGGAATGAACTTCCTGTCGAGGTTTTCTCACGAGACTACAGCATGGGGTTCTTCAAGAAGGGTATATTAAGGTTTCTTAAGGGTCTGCAACGCGCACGTGACACCCCTGGTGTTTCAGGCGTCCATAGGCTACGGTAACCATTTACCATCAGATGGGCCGTATGCCTGTTTGCCACCATAGTAGTATAAAAAAAATATATAAAACATACTAGTATGTAATTGTAACTAAACATACTGACGACCCCGGTGGTCTAGCGGTCTAGTACACCGCTTTGCGATCGATGGTCGCGGGTTCGATTCCTCGCACGGCACAAACATTTGTATTCATAAGTATGATTGTTTATATCGGTCTAGATGTTTTCTAAGTATAATATGTATTTATTTACAAAATAAATCTAACCATGTATTTATATCAGTTGTCTAGTACTCATAACACAAGCTCTGCTTAGCTTGGGACTAGATGGCGCTGTGTGAATTGTCCTGAGATTATTATTATACTAGTATGTAATTTTTTATACGTATAATTAGTAAAATTCACGGTATCTTACCGTGTTTTAATCTTACTGATAATAACCGTCAACTGCAAGGGCAGATTTTAGGACTTTTTGGGCTGCAGCCCAGCGCCCCGAGGATTTTTTTTATTGGTTTGTTTAGGCTGTTGTCAGATGTTTGTTGCATCTGTAGCACTGCGACCTACATAGATCTATTGTGCTCGCCCTTTTTCAAAGTTCGCTACCTAGACCCGTCAGGGACAAGAATTGAAGGATATTCTTAGGAGCGATGGTTTTTATCTCCTCAGGATAGAGTGTAAATTTTCCAAAGGAGATATTTCGTTTATGCATGAGTGGGCTACAATCACATAGGATGTGAAGCGGCGTTTCCTCTTCAGTTTGGCAGAATCTGCAGATTCTTGTCGTGCATAGGTCTAGTTTAGCCATACGCTTGTTTAATTTGCATCCTGTGAGGGCCCTAGTCATCATGCATATGTTGTTTTTACTCAATAGCAGTAGTCTATTGGAGTATTTGTTGGAGTAGCGATATTAGGGATGTGTTAATCCTGGCCTGGCCCCGAGGATACAAGGGCCCACAGTCCCCACTGAAACGATATTTAGAATATAAAAAGATATCTAGATTGATAAAAAAGGTTAAGGTTGGCAACCTTGAGATCAATCGAGCCATGCAAGTGCACGTCTATTGAAAGGAACGGGGAATTTCTGGTCGCTTGTTTTTGGTGGGTGTATTATTTTAGTTCAGTAATATAATTAGGTAGGCCCGTAAGTAGATTTAGCCCAGGGTCCACAAATTCACGATCCGCCCCTGGTCAACCGCCATTATAGCTATAATCATGGCGGTTGGAACCCTGCCGAAATATTGGAAACTCTAAAAAAAAAATATGTTAAGATCCCGTGATTTTTACTAGTCTATACATATAAATGGATGCGAGCAGCGCAGGACCGATCGTCGTGGAGATCTTTGGGGGAGGCCTATGTCCAGCAGTGGACGTCTTCCGGGCTGCGATGATGATACATATAAATAAAATTGGAGTGTCTGTTTGTAATATTGAAATAACGGTTTTTTATTACATGCATGTGAATATAAATACGGTACATATACCAAAATAACATTTTTTACAATTTTTGTCTGCCTGTCTGTTTGTTCCGGCTAATCTCTGAAATGGCTGGACCGATTTTGATGGAACTTTTTTTGGCAGGTAGCTGATGTAATAAGGAGTAATGTAGGCTACCTTTATTTTAGAAAAATAAAATAAAAGTCGCGAGTACAGCTAGTATTTTACAATTACGTAATGGCGTTGTTTCGACAAGGCGTTCTTAAATTGCATGACCATACGTCAAACCTCAAGTACACAGTCGAAATTGCCGAGGCATCTTAAGTTTCAAGTATACTTTCGGATATTTCGTGAGCAATCAATATTGTATTTCACTTTATTCGTAAATATTAGCTTGTCTCACTGTTATCCAATCACATGAAGAAACGACACATATAAATGCAAATGAATGGATGACGCTTCTGAATTTTTTCTTCGGTTTTTTTTATGTATGACGTGGTATGGTTCAGCTGATGTGCCTTAAACTTTATTTACATTTTCGATTAGATCTTTTAAACTACGCAACGGAATTGAATGCAGTTTTTAGCAATACATAGAGTGATTCAAGATGTGTATAATACATGTAGAGAGCCGTGCGACGCCGGGGCGGGTAGTTAGTGAATTATAATTTACTAATTAAATGTCATATACCAAAAAAATGTGTAAACAATTCACGCATCTCCATCTAGTCGTAAGCTAAGTAGAGCTTGTTTTGTGAATGGTAGACAACTGATAGATGTACTTATATACATATTTTCTGAATATATATATAGATAATATATATAGAAAATACCCAGATCGATACAAACAATCATACTCATGAATATACTCGTAAATGTTTGTAACGTGAGAGGAATCGAACCCGCGACCATCGGAAGTAATGCGGTTCTACGTATATTGTATTTGTATTAAAAAAAATGTATCTATGAACTTGTATCAGTTTTCTAGTACCCATAACATAAGCTCAGCTTATCATGCCACTAGATGCCGCTGTGTGAATTGTCCTGAGAGATTATTATTATTATATTGACAAGAGCAGAAAATTTCCAACAAAAGAAGTAGATAGTAGAGAAGCAAGTAATAATAATAATAATTGTTTTCCACAGTCATCAGTAACAGTGAACCAAGACCCAGCATCCTCATCCCACCAACGTCTTCTGGCTCTCTCCCACGCTGATGTCGAGAGAAGACTGATCGACAACAAGTCCCTGCTGACGATCGTGGATAAGCCAGCGTTGAGACAGCTGCCGACCCTGGTGTCCTCGCTTGCAGCCAGGGTCGAGAGCGACAAAGCGGTGCTGACGTGTGTAGGCCAGATAAAGAGAAGTGAGCCGACTCTGGATTTAAGTGATACAAGGTATGTTAAAGACAAATTAACACAGCATTAATATTTTAGGCATACCCAATCTGCAGATCTTGCTAAGCAAAAGAGGAAACGCCAATACACATCCTATATGGTTGTAGCTCACTTATGCATAAACTAAAATATCTCCTTTGAAAAGTATACACTATATCCTGAGAAGAAAAAACCATCGCTTCTAAGAATATCCTTCAATTCTTGTCCCTGACGGGCCTAGGCAGCGAACTTTGAAAAAGGGTGAGGGTGCAGTACTACAGATGCAAGCACCTGACAAAAGCCCAAAACTTCAATAAAAAAATTGTGGGTACCTGAGGGGATGGTGGGAAAGGAAAGGGTTGTGCCTACAGAGGGGACAAAGTGTAGGAAAACAATTGTAAGGGTCTACAAATGCGTACTTTTCGACGCACATTCCTCATACGCACATACGCACACTCCTAAGAAACCCTAATATACCCTTCTTGAAAAACCTCATGCTGTAGTTATATAGGGGTATATATATACAGCGTATATATCTACCTAAATAAACCGCCATGAGTAGATTTTCTTTCAAACGTAAAAACTGGAATTTCTTCTTCATTTCTTCATCATCTAAATTTGTAATCTGTCCTTTTTTTTTATAATATTTTTTATTCCTTTATTTGTGGCAGTACATATTTCATTGTCAGATTATTAAATATGTATTTATGTATGTATATATATAAGTATATGTTGTATAATAATATGTATATTACGCATTGGTTACCTTTCTGCGCGATGTTAACGGATATCCTACAAGGAAACCAATGCATTTATAATTTTAAATGTAACACTAATTTGCTACATTATGAATATTAAACATAACTTGGTTCTCGTAAAAATAATTCAATAATGTTCGAGATATTATAATGTTATTCTACATATATAAAATTAAATTAATTAACGACCGCTTAAAGTAATCTTCGCCCATGTACATGTACATCAAGGGCTGATCAAGCAACAAGGCTGCATGTCCAAGGTCTCTCTCCATACACAACGTGCTACTCTAAAAAAATCTACAATAACCAATTAAACTTCATACAATTTTGTACATATTATAAGGCAAATAATATCAATTTTTCACATTTCTCTATTTTTTTTATTACTATTGACTTTGTTTTCGAATGGCACATTATTGAAAAACAAATTTTTTCCAAAAATAAAAATGACATATATATAGTTCATTTAGTATTAACAATCCAATAGTATATCAGTTTCAAAAATGCACTAGACATTGGATTTGTAATTTTTTTTTAATAACCAAAATAATACCTGCTGAGTAGAGCGGAATATAAAAAAGTAATATATACGGAAAAAAATCTGTAATAGACCTACATGAATAAAGATATTTTGAATATGACTTGAATTTGAACTATTATTTAAAAAAAACACAATATCAAATAATAACAATAAATAATCATCATCACTACATAGTATAAAATAAAGTCGCTGTCGCTGTTTGTCTCTATATATGCTTAAATCTTTAAAACTACGCAACGGATTTTGAAGCGGTTTTTGTAATAGATAGAGTGACCCCGGGCGGACCCCGGAGAGTACACCCGGGCGAAGCCGGGGCGAGTAGGTAGTAGAAAATATTTGAATACACAAATAAAACATAGAACTAATCATTAAACATAAATAAACACCACAACAAACACAAAAACTTGAAACGACAACAGTTAGTTCCAAGTAATCATTACAAAGCGTAACCAAAAAGATAAATTCACACTCATATTAAATTAAACGTTGTCACTTAACGCAATATCTGCTATTTAACGTTAATAACCGTTATTTAACGGTTGCAGTTTAACGCTTAACTAGTGTTTACGTTATTTAATATATGATGTAATTTGGATTATCTCGGTGAAAGTAGCTTTCGCTGAATTCGATAGTTGTGTAATATGTAGCTCGGGTAGAGAAATCTTATATTTAATAGATATATTAATATAGTAATTGGGTATATTTCCTATAATATTATATAATTGACCTGAATAATTAAAAAGTAAATGGCATAGATAACTAATAATAATAATCTCAGGACAATTCACACAGCGCCATCTAGTCTTAAGTTCCATCTAGACCCAGGGTAAGCTATCATATGATTGACCTGGATAATTAAAAAGTAATTGGCACAGATAACTAATAATAATAATCTCAGGACAATTCACACAGCGCCATCTAGTCTTAAGTTCCATCTAGACCCAGGGTAAGCTATCATATGATTGACCTGGATAATTAAAAAGTAATTGGCACAGATAACTAATAATAATAATCTCAGGACAATTCACACAGCGCCATCTAGTCTTAAGTTCCATCTAGACCCAGGGTAAGGTATCATATGATTGACCTGGATAATTAAAAAGTAAATGGCACAGATAACTAATAATAATAATCTCAGGACAATTCACACAGCGCCATCTAGTCTTAAGTTCCATCTAGACCCAGGGTAAGGTATCATATGATTGACCTGGATAATTAAAAAGTAATTGGCACAGATAACTAATAATAATAATCTCAGGACAATTCACACAGCGCCATCTAGTCTTAAGTTCCATCTAGACCCAGGGTAAGGTATCATATGATTGACCTGGATAATTAAAAAGTAAATGGCACAGATAACTAATAATAATAATCTCAGGACAATTCACACAGCGCCATCTAGACCCAAGTTAAGCTAATTAAAGCTTGTGTTATGGGTACTAAGTAACTGATATATATATACATAGATTTTTTTCGTAAATACATACATACTATACATAGAAAACACCCGGACCGATACAAACAATCATACGCATGAATACAAATGTTTGTGCCGTGCAAGGAATCGAGCCCGCGACCATATGTCGTAAAGCGGTGTGCTAGACCACCGAGGTTGTGTTTTTTTTTCTATATATGTAAAAATGCAATTTGTCGTCAGTACACACGTCAACTTAGATGATTTCTCCATGTAACATTTTGACTTACCGCTTTCGGAAACAAACTCGACTTGGAACTTCGCAGTCGATTGAATGAATATTGAACAATAGGAAAAACATTTATGACTGCATTTGTTGCTTCACAAGTAACGGTCTTAATGGTAATGGTTTATCACAGCACACACACATTTATCTCACCGTTGCTTCTCAATACATTTATGAAAATATCATCTATACCAGGAAAAATATAGACAGTTTCAAAAGAGTTAGTGATTGCACCAATAAAAGCGTACATAACAATAACAAACTGATTTTACCTAAATGTCGTTTGGTTAAAGTTAGTAATTCGTTTTATGGAAATTGCGTAAGGTTTTACAATAAAATACCAGAGTCTGTTATAAATCTGCCAGAAAAAAGATTTAAGTGACAAATAAAACAGTTCCTTTGCAATAAAGCTTACTATAAAATTGAAGAATTCGTTAACGATAATAATGTTTTTATAGAAAAACTTTAAATCCATAGCACTGACAATATTATCTGATTACACTAATAATGAGTGCGTAGCGATTTCTATGTTGATTATCGCATGCCTCTTACTTGTTATACTATAATTATTTATATAAAAAAAAACATCTATTAAAAAGAGCAACACACAAGTTTCTTGCTCGTTCTTCTTGTGATGAATCTGCATTCCGAATGAGTGGTATCAAAATATGACTATTCAAAAGTGCTTGTAATGAGTTTATTTCAATAAAGATTATTTCTATTTCTATTTCTACAGCACTGTCCTTCCGATGATCGCAGGTTTGATTTCTTGCACGTTTACAAACATTTGTATTCATGACAATGATTGTTTGTATCGGTCTGGGTGTTTTTTATGTATAATATATATTTATGTACAAAGTATATGTATATAAATATAAGAGCTAAAGATAGGGAAGGTTGGAGGAGCGCCCTGGTACAACACGAACTAGTACACGTACTAATAGTTGCCATGTATATATTGACTCAAACCTGAAAAACAGTATGATTTAGTATTTATATTTATTAATTTATTATTAAATTTAATTAGTTATTCAATTCCGACTTGACATATTTGTATTTAATTTTAGTAAATTTTAATTATTATTTTACTTTTATATCAATATATTGACATCAATAAAATTACTATATATTGGGCCTGATCAAATTAAATTTACTGATTTACTTAAGTCAAACAGAAATCAAATTAAATTTACTAATTTACTCAAGTCAAAAACAGAAATCGGAAACCAAACTGGAAACACAGGGCAGTAAAAAACAAAAAGAACTAAGACAAGGTTTATAAAACAGCAGTTAGACCAGTTGGCACTATTACAGCCGACATATGCCACGGTATAAAAGGTTAAAAATAATAAGAGCACGGACTTTATGTCTGTGGAAAGAAAAAAAAGAAAGTATATCTATCAGTTGTTTAGAATCTATAACACAAGCTCTGCTTAGTTTGGGACCAGATGGCACTGTAGTATGCAGGAATATTATTATTATTCAAATTTATATTCAAAATATCTTTATTTATGTAGGTCTATTACAGACTCTTATGATATGTCAAATCTACTGTCACTTTGGAATGAAGAACTGGCAAGATTTTATTTTGTTTCATATTCAGAACATTAGTATGAATTTACCATTCAAATAACTGTTGAAAATAGAAAATCCCATTTGTATGCCGTTCATCTTTCCCCACAACTGAATGTGCGTGCAGACGTCAGCTTCCAGAGAAATTGCGCATCTAATCAGATCTATAAATCATAAAGCCATCCAATAATATTAGTTTAATTAACGAGAATGGAACTTCCCACGCACAATGGTAACTAACAACGCTGGGGCGAGATAAAGTGTAAACTTAAATCGCATACATACTTGCACAACAGCCTTTCAGTGGGAGAAATGTGTGAGAAATTATCTCTAATTGCTCTTTGTTGCCTGTTTCGTCATAAATGCATTAAATGTTATTAATCCAGTCGTAATATGCTTAATTGTGTTATAATTGGTGATTATTCATCTATTGTCTTGTGTTATTTTTGTTATATTTATAGAAAGGTAGTAGTACAAGGGGTATCTTTGCGAATTTATTTGCACTGGCACTTTTGTCCCATAAATTTTTCTGCTGGCAGCTATTCTTACAAGATTTTGACTTGATAGGAATATATCCTCAATAAATATCTTGACTTAATCCTGAAGAATACTAAAATATGTGTGCAATGAAATTTGTACTCGATCCAGAGGATGTTTTCGTCAACTGTTTCCTCCCTGTCGAAAACTCAGTTATTTTCTTCCGGTTCAAATTGACTTTAACTTATGGTACCTGCATCAGTATATAGTTTTAACTATGGTTCGATAGCAATTTCAGCCGGAAGGAAATGACTGATTGTTTTTTACATGTTTGCGAGTTTTGGACCGAGGGAAATTGGTCACCTTGAGCTTGTCCAAACGCCCTTCAAACGGACCACAACTTGAGAGGGGGAAAGGAACCTACAAGAATAAAGATATTTTGAGGGTTGAATTGATCTTAATAATTGATAGGAAAGATGATTTGTATAACGAAGGTAGACTTATGATATTTTGATCCTCGGTCTTTTCTATTGTGACTATTAAAGTTATTGTTTGTAAAGATTAGCATTAGAAGTAATCTTTAATATAAGCACTTCTGAATAGTCATACTTTTAGATTCTACCATTCGTTCGGAACACAGACTCACACAAGACGAATGAGCAAAAAAACTTGCGTATTGCTCTTTAAATTAAAAGTTATTTTAAGTGAATACACAGAACAAGGAAGAGGCATGGGACAATCACTATAGAAATCACTACTGTTTATGAGGTTCCGATATTTCGAAGCTTTTACAAAAGTCCTGTAGATATATTCTGTAAGCTTCACTTACAAATTCGAAAGCGGAATTTGAATTCGGAATTTGTATCGGTCTGGGTGTTTTCTATGTATATTTTTGTTTTGGGATGATAATGGAATGTTGCACTCGGCTACGCTAACGGTATACGCTGGCGGGGCACCAGTGAAGGATGATAAGATGAACATGAGGTCAGGGCAGTTAGTCCATCCTGGGAACTTCACCAGGAATTTCACAGGAAGGTTTCCAGATGGAGCCGCGTGGAGGTCAACTTCACATGGTACACTGCTATCAATGGGGTTATTAACCGACATTATTATGCATGTATTTACAAAAAATATATATATATCAGTTGTCTAGTACCCGTAACACAAGCTCTGCTGATCTTGGAACTAGATTAGCGATTGCAGTGCCACCCGCTTGAGAGTAAGATGGTGGTAAAATAGGCACTAGTGACGATGATTATGATAATGAGCCAAACTCAATAGCTCAGTAGGAACTTTATATTTAATACAATACTAATCACACAGATTTGATATGGCAGTGGATATAAACAAATATTACGAACAGATAAATCTGTCTAATGCTTACTTTGACTTACTATTTTATCATAATTAATTTATATAAATTACAGTGATGAAAGCAGTTTTTATAAATAATCATTCTCCTTGCTTCCAGACCGGTCGCTGGCGTGTTGATGAGCTACTCCCGAGGATGTGCTGCAGTCATCACGCAGATGTCGGATGGTGAGGGTGCAGGTCAGACCCCGACTGCGCCCCGCTCACCAACGGACTCCGCAAGTGACGGCTACCATTCAGACAGTGATGACTCACAACAGCATCCGGACAGGTATGGTTATTTATATGTTCTACCTTAAATATCACACCGTTTTTGATTGGTACTTACCCAATCAAAAACGGTGTGATCTTTAAGGTAGAATATAAGTGGTCGGGTCTAAATTTGTTTCTAATTTAGAACTTAACCAGAGGTAAAAAGTGTGATAACTCAGATGTGATATTTGGGTAGTGAACTTGATTTGAACCATATCAAGGGTAAAAAGAGGCATAGCTCAAATTTGATATTGAGATTGTGTAGGTACCTAAAAAGGGCTAGCTTGCATAGGCAAAGTAAGAAGATTTAAGGATTCTGTTGACAAAATGTGATGATGTAGGTATTGGAGAAGTAAAACTACCTAGATACACGTATAATATATCTCTATATTTTTTAGTACATGTGTTTACAATGCAACGGATGCTTACTGACTACCTAGAAAACGTAAAGTGCCGGGATCGTATGAACGGGATCTGAGCATTAGAAACTAGTTTTAGGTTGAGATCCTTGCTAACAGATTCACAATTGGTGTCTGCGATAGTTTCTTGCAAGACTTGACCCACTTGAATCGATATTGAGTGCAGAAGCTTCTAGATCGATTGAAGAGTATCTTATAAAGCTTGACTACACTCATCAATCTATAGTATTATATTTATCTCTACGTAAGAGCTCAGAATAAACATAATTTTAGCATAATTTCTCACTCTTTATTTTTCTTCAAAAATTGTTGAAGGCGCTCCTGGGGTGTACATCTTCCGTGAGTCTACATGGAAACAAAATTTTTCTTCGATTGATGCGTAGATGACACCATCATGACTATAGAAATAATATTTCCAGGAGTAAGCTGGTTTCCCAATACGCAGCGGTGTGGGCTCGTGCAGCAGACGAGGCATTACCAGCTCTGTCGGCGCTGGAGCCGCTGCGGCAAACACCGCACCTTAAATACAAGATTGTCTTCTCCATTGTTGTTGTAAGTATAAAAAATAGTACCTTCTTGTTATGGCGTCCGGAGGCTCCACACTGGTGCCCTCGACCGCTCCTCCGTTCAATTCAAACGGTGATTGAAATAATGTTGGCCTGAGCTGAGCTTTGAATCTCTAGCGTTGCCTCAGTGGTATCGTCAGCCAGGCATTGGCCTTCAACCGTTCCACAAGTATTTGGAGTTATGAAATTGAATTCCACAATAGAACAATTCCATAAAATACGTTCTTTTTTCATCATCTTCATTACTACGACATGTTTAGAGATTTTCTATATGGTTGGAAACCAAATCATCCTCATAATTTACAACTCAGAGCTCATTCCACTTTTCACAATCTTCGATCGTTCCTTTTAAATGTTTATACGACATGAGTCCAATATTTTCTTAATCTACTTGACGTAACTTAACCTGTATATTTGCAGCTGTCGTTCCGCGCCGCTATCAGCCTGCGCGACCGGCGACTGAGCGAGGTGAAGGCGTTACTGGGTGCTGGAGACAGCGAACCCGCCGCCAGGGAGCCGACGGTGTCCCGGCTCCTGTCGGCGGCCACTCGAGTCCTGCACGAGACAGCGCACAGCTTCCCACTTGGGGAAGCGGAGCGGACTGTCATCAACCAGGTTGGTAATTTTTTTTATACTATGGGGACAAACGAGCTTGTGTTTCAATGGTAAGTGATTACCGCCGCCCTTGACCATCTGCAATAGCAAGGGAATTTTTAGTGTATTGCCGGCCTTTTGAGATGGAATAAGGTTTTCAAGGTTTCAATATCGTATGAGTTCGGAATTACCTTTGCTGGAAGGTGATTTTACAATGTGGTTGTGCGTGGCAATAGTTTCTGGAAAAACGCACGTTGGAGGACTCAGATAAAACTTACGTATCGTGGGCTATATACATGAATAGCTATTACAAAAATCTCGTCATCATGTGTTAAGTGAGTAATAAGTTTGGCTTAATACACATAATTAAACAGATGTTTTAAATGCATTTTTAACAATCACCTGCCTCTAATATTGATGACGAATATAATTTTCCATCTGGCGGTCAGTTGGATTTTCCCATTATAGTTGCATAATAGAATGACCATTGCTGGTGATAAACGATTTGATAAGTGCTTGTTCTAAATCTTCAGGTGTTGAGTACTCTTCGGGAGTACCCTTGTCTGGGCGGTTGCGGTGCGCTCCACGCCTTAGTTGCTGCAGCGTGTCGAGCCGCCTGGAGCATCAGCTTGCACTCTCCTCCCTTGAGGATAGACACCGACTTCACGCCAGGTGATCAACTGTTTTTGAGATCTATGTAAAACATAATACAGTCGAATTCTGATTAACTTTCTTTTGTTGTTAAGTTGCATCTATTAACTCGTACAATATTCATTACGATGTGACAATGGTTGTATCTTCTAATGGCTACTTGAAGTTAAAAAAAAAAAGAATTCTCAACGGTGTTTTGTGTTTTTTTTTATGTTGACAAACAAGCATACGACCATTCTGGTGGAAAACTGTTACCGTAGCCTAGCAGAGGTCAGCAACGCACTGCTGAAATCTTAATATATCCTTCTTAAAAAACTGTTTGCTGTAGTCTCTATACAGAACGTCGGCAGGTAGTTTATTCCACAATCTGAGTGTACTTGAGTGGAAACTCAACATCCTGTACTTATTTTGTTGTTAATGAGATTGTTGTTAATAAGACTGTTGTTAATGAGATTGTTGTTAATGAGATTGTTGTTAATAAGATTGTTGTTAATAAGATTGTTGTTAATAAGATTGTTGTTAATAAGATTGTTGTTAATAAGATTGTTGTTAATGAGATTGTTGTTAATGACATTTTTGGTAATGAAATCGTTGTTAATAAAATTGTTGTAATGTTCCAGTGGTAATGAATCCAGAGAAGCATGTTCGCTTTACGCTGGGCGATGCTCGGGAGCGGCGCTCGGACCTCATCAAGTCATTCGTGTGGCCAGCCCTGATGGAAGGCAACCGCTGCGTGTTCCGAGCTGTCGTTTTGACGTGAAAAGAGATCTGAGCAGTTTAAAGTTAGGGCTGTCAATTTTATATCAGCATTGTATATTTTACGTATTTTGTATTTTCACAAAAAGTATTTCTCATTTTAATGTCTGTTTTCAAATTTGTTTATATATTCCATATTATGAGTAGTCTGAATGTAGGGTTGCCAGTTTCGATAACTTTTCAGAACGAAAATTATATTTTTATATCTTTTTAATGTGTTCTTTTTTTTATAAAACTGAATAATCTATTGAATGAATGTAACTGGTTATATGTAAGTGAATATTAGTTTTATTCTAGTTATGTACAGTGTTATTTTATAGCTTTATCTTTTGTGTGATTTTTTAGTAAAAAAACATGTATTAAATTTATACTATTTTAATAAATTTACGGTTGGCAACCCTAGTTTAATAACAAAGTGTATATATAGTCAATAGCATTGTGTTAATGGTACACAAATATATAAGGTAGTTTGTAATCATTATTCGATGTATAAGGTCTAACTAAAATTGGGCTCAAAATGGTGACAACGAACAGAAATCCATACAAAATACAACCAATATGTGATGCAGAGAAGTGGCGCTGGTCACTAGCAAAACCGAGATTATGTATTTTTGTTGTTTTTTATAACATTTGGGACAAACATATAACATACTACGACCAATATGTGACGCAGAGAAGTGGCGCTGGTCACTAGCAAAACCGAGATTATGTTTTTTTGTTGTTTTTTATAATATTGGGGACTAACATATAACATGCTACGACCAATATGTGACGCAGAGAAGTGGCGCTGGTCACTAGCAAAACCGAGATTATGTTTTTTTGTTGTTTTTTATAATATTGGGGACAAACATATAACATGCTACGACCAATATGTGACGCAGAGAAGTGGCGCTGGTCACTAGCAAAACCGAGATTATGTTTTTTTGTTGTTTTTTATAATATTGGGGACAAACATATAACATGCTACGACCAATATGTGACGCAGAGAAGTGGCGCTGGTCATAGCAAAACCGAGATTATGTTTTTTTGTTGTTTTTTATAATATTGGGGACAAACATATAACATGCTACGACCAATATGTGACGCAGAGAAGTGGCGCTGGTCACTAGCAAAACCGAGATTATGTTTTTTTTTTGTTGTTTTTTAAATATTGGGGACAAACATATAACATGCTACGACCAATATGTGACGCAGAGAAGTGGCGCTGGTCACTAGCAAAACCGAGATTATGTTTTTTTGTTGTTTTTTATAATATTGGGGACAAACATATAACATGCTACGACCAATATGTGACGCAGAGAAGTGGCGCTGGTCACTAGCAAAACCGAGATTATGTTTTTTTGTTGTTTTTTATAATATTGGGGACAAACATATAACATGCTACGACCAATATGTGATTTAGAGAAGTGGCGCTGGTCACTAGCAAAACCGAGATTATGTTTTTTTGTTGTTTTTTATAATATTGGGGACAAACATATAACATGCTACGACCAATATGTGACGCAGAGAAGTGGCGCTGGTCACTAGCAAAACCAAGAATTTTTTTGTTTTTTTTTTATAACATTTGGGGGCAAAGGAGCTTGCAGCTCACCTGATGGTAAGTGATTACCGCCGCCATGAGAAATGCAAGTGCGTTGCCGGCCTTTTAAGAAGGATTCGCAAAAGTGTTGCATATGTTCAAGTTATAGTCCACAATAGTTGATTTTTATTTTGATTTGACGTTATAACGATTTTATTAGTAACTAGCTGACCCCGCGACTTTGTCCGCGTTATGCAACATTAATTTACTATTCTAAAATAAAATATTTTTCTAAAATAAAAGTAGCCTAAATTACTCCTTATTACATCAGCTACCTGCCAAAAAAACTCCCGTCAAAATCGGTCCAGCCATCTCAGAGATTAGCCGGAACAAACAGACAGATAGACAGACAGACAAAAATTGTAAAAATGTGATTTTGGTGTATGTACCGTCATACACCGAAATAACATTTTTGACGTTATTTCAATATTACAAACAGACACTCCATTTTTATTTATATGTATAGATAAGATAATAATTTTTATATTCATGAAACTAAAAGTTGGTATAAACAATCTTACTCAGAAATTTCTTAGTCATTCCGGAACCGTTTCATTATCAATCGATATGACCACGTCATTGTAATTTGCATTGTTTACAAAAAATTACACACACGGATAATGTCAATTTACAAATCTTCATATATAATAGTAATAAGAATATCTCAGTACAATTCACACAGCGCCATCTAGTCCCAAGCTAAGCAGAGCTTGTATTATGGTACTAGACAACTGATATAAATACATGGATACATTTTTTCTGTAAATAAATACATATTATACATAGAAAACACCCAGACCGATACAAATAATCATACTCATGAATACAAATGTTTATAAACACGTTTGAATTAACCCACGACCATTTTAGTACTCATTTTGCCAAAAAACCAAAATCGAGGCTGTCGGATATATAAATATTACGTGTCACGCTGTTTGTCCGCGATGGACTCCTAAACTACTGAACCGATTGCAAATTTGATTTGCATATTGTGTGCAATTTGATCCAACTTGAAAGATGGGATAGCTTACATCTCAATTTATAGTCGCAATATTATTCAAGAACCTTAGCCGCAGCAACGGTTAGCCGAGTCTGCTAGTTATGTATATAGAAGAATACTAAGTGATTATTTAAGTGTGTCTGTCTGTATGTTTGTTACCTTTTTATCGGAACCTGTTTAAACGGAACGGAATCCATTGAAAGACATGAAATAACGCTTAAGGTCGTCATTGGCAACGCACTATTCCCCTGGTGTTGCGGGTGCTCATGGGCGGCGGTAATCACTTACCATCAAGTGAGCCGCAAGCTCGTTTGTACCCTGTGCTATAAAAGGCAAAATTTTATCTCAGTTTGTTTTTAAAGCAAAAATTATTTTGTTTCAATTAAATACTCATCATAAAATACTCATTCTTGTACGTAGAAATAAAAAAACCTAATAAAATCTCGTACATTTGGTTAAATTAGCTAACTAACCTCGGTAACCTTGCTATCGGTTCAGTAGTTTAGTAGGTTAAAGTTTCGTACAAACTTGTAAAAATGTATGCAAGAAACAGTAATAATCTTCAGTCATATAAACCTAATATAAACACTTTTGAATTATCAATATTTTGTACTCCATTTGCCAGAAAAAAAATCAAGTGTGTTATAAAATATTTTCTTTGTAAAAAAACTTATTATAAAATTGAAGAATTAATAAATGATAATAATGTTTTTGTAGAAAATATCTAACTTAAAATTCATAGCGCTGACAATGTTATCTGATTGAACAGAGATTAAGTGCGTAGCGGTTTCTATGTTGATTGTCGCATGCCTAATCCTTGTTAATTAAATCAATATTTATTTAGAAGAGCAACACACAAGTTTCTTGCTTATTCTTCTTGTGATGAATCTACATTCTACTTGATTAACTTCAACTTGACTATTCAAAAGTGCTTACATTATTTTATTTGAATAAAGATTATTTCTATTTCTATATATTTTTTAAACTACCACTCAATCGGAACGCAGACTCATCACAAGAAGAATGAGAAAGAAACTTGCGTGTAGCTCTTTTAAAGAAGCGTTGTTCAGAATAATTTTTTTTAAGAATTTTGCGTGAATAGAACTTGAGTAATAAAATAAATCAGTTATCAGAACAGACCAGTCCCTACAAGCAGCACCCGTTCACGAGTATAAGAAGGCAAAAAATCTCGTATTTTCATGGGGATTGTATGGTTGGTATGGAATTACGTGTAACCAAGACGCTTTTTATTTGTATTTTTTGGGATTATAATAATTGAACACGTTTTTAACTTGTTACTCGGTCGGCCATTAGTCCAAGAAGGGAGATGTCAAGACAGAACCGTACTTTATTGAATTTTAACCATAGATTACAATATTCTATAAATATCTATGGAATATTGATATGGATACTGGTCGGTAGGGTAAAAATTAAAATTATAATTTAAAAAATTTGACGTTCATAAGCGGCTAAAATGTCCTACATAAATAAATTATTTTTGAATTTGTATATAGTAGCTTTTACCCGCAGCTTCGCTCATATAACTTCATTACTGTCTGCTAGATGGCGCTGAAGTAGCTAAACGTTGATATTTTATTATTTTTGTTTCTTATAAAATATATTTGTTTTTTTTAAATAAAAAGTATCCTATGTTCATTCTAATACCTCTAAGAACATGTGTATGAAATTTAATGATGATCGGTTTAGTAGTTTTTGCGTGAAAGCGTAACAAACATACCTACATTCATATTTATAATATTACTAAGTATCATTACACAGTATAAAACAAAGTCGCTGTCGCTGTCTGTCCGTCCCTATGTATGTTTAAATCTATAAAACTACGCAACGGATTTTGAAGCGGTTTTTTTTAATAGACAGAGTGATTCAAAGCGAAGGTTTATGTGTATAATACATATACACCAGGGCGAAGCCGGGGCGAACAGCTAGTTGTATATAATTTGGATATTTTTCACTATAACTCAGCAGTTGACATCCCTGATTCCGGGTCTATAATAGACCGAAATCAGGGATGTCAACTGCTGAGTCACAAGGGAGAAAAAAACTGTGTAAAAATATAGTATGTTACATTTACGTTTTGTAATTACTCATACATTATTCTTTTGTTATTTTTTTACAATTAAATACTAAGTAATTTATTGTTACAATATAGAATGTAAATTGTAATTATTGATATCTATATTTTATTAAAATACTCTTGTATTACATAGATATGATTTTTTTATTTCCCAATTTTTTTCCTTAGTACATCATCCATACTTGCTGTAGTTATATTATTTTGTTTAATTCCGCTACAATTAGCATGTTTCAAACAATCATTCATCACGACACAAGAATGGTACCATCTATACATATAAATAAAATTAGAGTGTCTGTTTGTAATATTGAAATAACCGTTTTTTACTACATGCATTTATTTAATATATATTATTTATTTTTATATAGTAAATAAAAATTATTCATATATAGTAAATACGGTACATACACCAAAATAACATTGCTATGGCTATCTCTGAATTGGCTGGACAGATATTGACGGGACTTTTTTTGGCAGGTAGCCGGTGTAATAAGGAGTAACTTAGGCTACTTTTATTTTAATAAAATAAAATAAAATTCCACGCGGACGAAGTCGCGGGAACAGCTAGTCAAATAATACAATTTTTATTATTCATAACTAGTTATTAGGTACTCAAGATCGCGCGGAATCAATTCCAAGTGATTGCATACTTTTGCTCGCAAGTGTAGTATAATAATAATAATAATAATCTCAGGACAATTGACACAGCGCCATCTAGACCCAAGTTAAGCTAGCTAGAGCTTGTGTTATGGGTGCTAGATAACTGATACATATACATAGATATTTTTTTGTAAATACATACCTACATATTATACATAGAAAACACCCAGACCGATACAAACAATCATACTCATGAATACAAATGTTTGTGCCGTGCGAGGAATCGAACCCGCGACCATCGGTCTTAAAGCGGTGTACTAGACTGCTAGACCACTGAGGTAGTATTAGTCATTCAAAACATTGCTCTTTTTCATTCGACTACGGGCTATCACATGACTCAATTAGATAAATAATATTATCTAGGAAAATATTGATGACTTATACAATTATTATGATGATCAGGGTAATTTAAAGTGATGACGTCATCAAGTAGTCATGAGTAGTCATCATCACCATCACCAAATGTGACATGTTCATTAAAATGTCCGGATCTCGCCATCACCTGGATGGCGTGGTTGGCCGAGATATTTTGACATGTTCATTAAAATGTCCGGATCTCGCCATCACCTGGATGGCGTGGTAGGCCGAGATATTTTGGCATGTTCATTAAAATGTCCGGATCTCGCCATCACCTGGATGGCGTGGTAGGCCGAGATATTTTGACATGTTCATTAAAATGTCCGGATCTCGCCATCACCTGGATGGCGTGGTAGGCCGAGATATTTTGGCATGTTCATTAAAATGTCCGGATCTCGCCATCACCTGGATGGCGTGGTAGGCCGAGATATTTTGGCATGTTCATTAAAATGTCCGGATCTCGCCATCACCTGGATGGCGTGGTAGGCCGAGATATTTTGACATGTTCATTAAAATGTCCGGATCTCGCCTTCACCTGGATGGCGTTGTAGGCCGAGATATTTTGACATGTTCATTAAATTATTTGGTTCCCTAAAATATGGTTAAAATTAACTTAATTTTATAGACTTGTTGGTCTAGCGGTTAATAATATGTATGTATTTATAAAAAAATATATCTATGTATTTGTATCAGTTAACTAGTACCCAAAATACAAGCTCTAAGAAGCTTAACTTGGGTCTAGATGGCGTTGGATGGATTATCCTAGCATTATTATTATTAATCTATACATATAAAATTGGAGTGTCTGTTTGTAATATTGAAATAACCGTTTTTTACTACATGTATATGAATATAAATACTGTACATATATCAAAATAACATTTTTTACAATTTTTGTCTGTCTGTCTGTTTGTTACGGCTAATCTCAGAAATGGCTGGACCAATTTCAACGGGGCTTATATTGGCAGGTATTGTATCGCTGATGTGATAAGGAGTAACTTAGGCTACTTTTATTTTAGAAAAATAAAGTTAAATTCCACGCGGACGAAGTCGCGGGTACAGCTAGTAATGAATGTAAATAAAAAATAAACATTATTCATTATTTATAATTTTTATCTATATATATATATATATATATAACTCAAAGGTGACTGACGTAGTGATCTATCAACGCACAACACAAACCACTGGACGGATCGGGCTGAAATTTGGCATGCAGGTAGATGTTATGACGTAGGCATCCGTTAAGAAAGGATTTTGATTAATTTTACCCCCAAGGAGATAAAATAGGGGATGAAAGTTTGTATGAAAGTTTGTCAATTTGAAACCGATCGGTCTGAGACTTTGCATGCATAAATCTACTATCTCGGGGGGGGGGGGGGGGGAGGGGATTGTCAGTAATGTGGACTAATGATCTTATTGCTAACAATGTACCATATCAGGTCGACCTCCACGCGGTTCCCCCTGGAAACCATCGTGATAAATTCCCGGTGAATTTGTCAAGTTGGGCTAACTGATCTGACTTCATGTTCATCTTATCATCCTCCACTGGTGCTCCGCCAGCGTAAACCGTTAGCACAGGCGGGTGCACCATTCCATTTTTATCCACTAAAAAAAATCTACTATGAAGTAGGCATTAAAGGATATGGATAAATTCCACCCCCAAGGGGATAAATTAACGCGAGTGAAGCCGCGGGCAATAGCTAGTGTTATTATTAAGGGAATAAAAATTTGTGTTTACACAATGAAAATCAATAATACAACAGTGAGTAATGTACAGTTATTCATAGATAAACTGTGTTACAGTTTATCTATGTAGATAAGATTAGCAACAAATACTGAGATATAAAACTGAACATTATTCCTACTCACTCAGTGTTCAGACAAAGTTAAAACGTGTGCATAATGAGCCAATATCCGCCACCGCCGCCCGGGCCGCATCCACCCCCGTACTACCCTCCGCCGCATTACCCGCCGCCGCCGCATCCCCCACATTTCCCGCACCCCCCGCCACCTGGCTACCAACCGCCGCAAATCAACATCAACTACCCTTACTACGTGCCTGGTACCGTGATGATGCCAGTCCAAACCCAACCACCAAATCCACCGGAACCCAACCAGTCTACCTACATAACCAACTATATCTACCAAGGAGAGGGATCCAACCTGCCAGCGTTACCAGAACCCGTACAAGTTGTTGAAACTTCTGGAGATTTCGACTGGATACCGTCAACTGCGACGACTGCGAACATGCTCACAGGAAGGGCTGTGGTAGGCGGTCACGAAGGTTGGGATGGGAGCCCTCTATGGGTGATCAGAGCTTGGCACAGCGGAGATCTAATTCCTGGGAAGTTCTCCGTGCGTCACAACACAGCATCGATCATGTACGACAGCAAAGAGATACCAGTTCAAAATATAGAAGTTCTATGCGCGAAGCCGCATAATTTAAGATGGGTTCCTGCATCCCAAGGTTCGATACCTCCTGGTGCTATCAGCGGCGGCAGAACAGCAACTGGGGAGACCCTGTACGTCGGCAGAGCGAGGTACCAGCTCTCTGTAACTCCAGGGAAGGTGCATCCTAGCCACGGTTCGTGTTACATCGGATTTGCTGGCGCCGAAGTTGCAGTTAAGATGTATGATGTATTATGCCGAATTAGTTAGTGATTTTGTTATCTAATAAGGGACAAATGTGTGATCATTCTCCTAGAAAATCAAAGAAGAAATGTGATTTTGATATGTGTGAGTGTTTATATAAGCCAATCACAAAATAGTGAGACCATTTGAATATACGTGTATGTAATATTGTAAATGTATATGAAATTGTGACAATTTGTTAATAAAATTATTATTGAAATAGAAATAATCTTTATTTAAATAAACTTAATATAAGCACTTTTGAATAGTCAAGTTTTTTTATTCTACCGCTTATTCGGAATGCAGATTCATCACAAGAAGAATAAGCAAGAAACTTGTGTGTTGCTCTTTTAAATAAATATTGATTTACTTATATTTAATTAACAACAAGGATTAGGCATGCGTCAATCAACATAGAAACCGCTACGCGCTGAATCTTTGTTCAATCAGATAACATTGTCAGCGCTATGAATTTTAAGTTAGATATTTTCTACAAAAACATTATTATCATTTAGAAATTCTTCAATTTTATAATAAGCTTTTTTACAAAGAAAATATTTTATGACACATTTGATTTTTTTTCTGGCAAATTGACTACAGACTGGGAGTTTGTTGTAAAACCTTACGCAATTTTCATAAAACGAATTACTGACTTTCGTCAAACGGCACTTAGGTAAAACTAGTTTGTAAGTACATAGCTGTTTCTTTTGTTAGATAAAGTTTATTTAGGTATTGTTAACAGATATGATAGCGTGTTATCGTAGTATTTATCAACTTATCATATAAGATATGATACATATTGTCCTTATGCATTCTTGGGCATGATTAGTCTATGCTACGATTGTAATAAATTCCATATTATATACTGCTTATGAACGTCAAATTTTTTACATTATATGTATTTTAAATTTTTTCTACCGTCCAGTTCAGTATATATATCCAATTGAGAAGAACTGGCAAGAAACTCAATTGAATTACTTTTTTTTTAAAAAGCCTCTTTATTTGCAATGTATATTTATATAGGTGTCTATGTCTAACATTAAATGAAAATCCCGTGCATGAACAACTATTGCCATGCACGCTCGTCATTAAGTATTTTAGTGATAAAAGTAAATATGATTTAACAGAGATTTGAATTTATTTAAGTAATTCCAGTATATCCTTTGGTATGTTATTGTAAATTTTTATACCTATTCCCATAAAAGACCTATTGACTTTTCTAAACGATACTTGGGGACAGCAAGTTTGTCTTTTCTAGTATTAATATTATGAATATTGCGGTTTTTTGGAAATAGGTCAAGATTTTCATTTATGAGTGGAAGTTATTTTTGTTTTAACAATGAAATTACAAACAAGAAGGCTGTCTTGTAGAATGTTTTTATAATAATAACAGTGGACAACTAAGACAGCGCCATCTAGTCCCAATCTAAGCCTATGTTATCGATACTAGATAACTGATATAAACATATATATATAGATACCCAAACTGTTGATCATTCTTGTAGTATTTATCAACCCCATTATCATATAATATCATGATACACGGTTCCTCCCGGATCATGATAAATTCCTGGTGAATTTGTCACGATCTTGGGACCATGATTATGCTCATCTTATCATCCTCCACGATTGTAATAAATTCCAGGCGGGTATTAACTGGTGTTGCGGGTGCTCATGAATCACTTACATCAATTTTTTCCATTATATTATCATCCATAACAGAAAACGGTCATACTCACGAATAAAAATGTTAGTATCGTGCGAGGAATCGAACCCGCAACCATCGGAAATGAGACAGTGTATTTAACCGCTACACCACCGAGGCCGTCAATTTTACTTTAATATAAATATTTATAATTAAAAAATGAGTTATTATTAATAAAAAAAATAAGATAAAATAACTGTACCTATACATATATATTGTTAAATATATCTACACCTCTGAACATGTCTAGACTTGAATAAGCAGAGTAATATCATTGCAATTCTCTTCATGATTGCAAGATACATTTAATAAACTCTAAACTCAGTTAGGTACCAACTTAACATCTTATTATCAAGCAATAAGGTCGACAATCGTATGGCACGTTCAATTCCTTAATGCGTGGAATGAGAGTCAATTGGGAAGGTGATCTCATGTTAATGTCATATGTGAAGTGACCACACATCGCTCATTGGGCAGGACAGTCTCACTATCAGGGTGTCTATCATATTGATTTTGGATTTAAGTATTTTTATCAATTACTAGATGTGCCTGCGACTTCGCTCGGGTGAAATAGAAGATGAATGACGAAATTTTTTTTATAATCTTTGAGTGTCATATATATATTTAATCAACAGTCTAAAATTAAATTTCAAGTTTCTAGATTTAGAATTGACGATGCCTCTATACACCCTTTTATCTCCCCCTATAAACCCCTTACAACCCTTTTTTCGTGTTAGAAAGTAGTCTATGTCCTTTCTTAGGGTCTTGAGTATTCGTGTACTAAAATTCATTTAAATCGGTTCAGTAGTTTTGGCGTGAAAATTTGATAAACCGACAACCCTCCACCAACCCATGGACATCCCAACCTCTCGGTTATACTGGCGGGATCTACGGGGACCTACGCATTCTCTTGACCCCTACACATTATTTCAACTCCTGTCCCTTCTTACGCACTCTCCTCGTTCTGGGGCAGAACGAAACGGCTTCGGTGCCGGGCAGTACTCTTTCTCCTATATCTCCTACTCTTTCTATATATATATATATATATGTGTGTGTGTGTTCATACATGTATACATACTGCAAAGTTAATATAATGTAGGTATGCTAATGTTGTCGTGGAGATCTTTGGGGGAGGCCTATGTCCAGTAGTGGACGTCTTCCGGGCTGCGATGATGATGATGATGCTAATGTTGACTATTTTGCTAAATAAATATATATTATTACTGGCTGTCCCGGCAAACGTTGTTTTGCTATATAAATTAATAACGCTATAAAAAAATAGGGTTTGCTGATAGAAGGGTGAAAATTTAGGATTGTAGTATGTATTTTGTAATGACACAATAAAAAAACATAAATAAAAATTTTGCCCAAAAAATAAAAAAAATAATGATAGTGGTGGACAACCCTTATCACTTAGGGGTATGAAAAATAGATAGCAGCCGATTCTCAGAACTACTGAATATGCATATAAAATTTCATAAAAATCGATCAAGCCGTTTGGGAGGAGTATGGTAACTAACATTGTGACACGAGAATTTTATATATATGATTATTATTATTATATTGTGTCGACCCCAAATAATGGGATAAAGGCAAGGCAATGAACTAACTAGGCAAAGTTATTTAGAAGTTGCGATAGATGACGTAGTGTGAATTGTCATATATTTTTTTTATTCCACCAGAGTCCCACTTTGAAATACAAAATGAATGGTCATAATAGTCATCTGTGACGAATGTAAAGGTGGTCACTGATGGTAGTAAAATGACCTGTTAGACAGCAATTATTGATGAGAAAAAATTGTGACCCTGCTGGCGCTATCGAGCTGTTAATGAGAGTGTGGTTTGGAACTTTGGAATGAATTAAAAGTTAAGCTGAGTTTGCTGAATTTAAATTTATTTCTATAAAATAAAAGTAGCCTAAGTTACTCAGAAAAAGTCCCGTCAAAATAGGTCCAGCCATTTCAGAGATTAGCCGGAACAAACAGACAGACAACCAAAAAATGTTATTTTGGAGTATGTACCATATTTATATTCATATGCATGTAGTAAAAAACGGGTATTTCAATATTACGAACAGACACTCCAATTTTATTAATATGTATAGACTAGCTATACACGTGACTTCGTCTGCGTGGAATTTAACTATTTTTTTTTAATAAAAGTAGCTTAAGTTACTCCTTAATACATTAACTACCTACCAAAAAAAGTCCCGTCAAAATAGGTTCAGCCATTTCAGAGATTAGCCGGAACAAACAGACAGACAACCAAAAAATGTTATTTTGGAGTATGTACCATATTTATATTCATATGCATGTAGTAAAAACGATAATTTCAATATTACGAACAGACACTCCAATTTTATTCATATGTATAGACAACGGCGGATCCAGGGGGGGGTCATGACCCCCATGACCCCCCCTGAGCCCAAGACTTAGGTGGACCACTAATTGAACATAATGATTTTATTTATATATTTTGTTACCATACAGATTTTATATAACTACATACCTTCAATATTTAATTAATTATATTTAAACAGTGCTTCTCTGGATGTCTTCAAGAGAAGATGGCGATATGTACGTGTATATGTACAAGTTATTAAGTGTTAAGTTTTGAAGTGTACAATGTAGAATAAATATTTTTAAGTACATTAATAAAATACCTACTTTTTACTTGTATCTATTGTTATCAAAATTAAATAATAATAATAATAATCTCAGGACAATTCACACAGCGCCATCTAGACCCATGTTAAGCGAGCTAAAGCTTGTGTTATGGGTACTAGATAACTGATACAAATACATAGATATATTTTTTTCCTAAATACATACATAATATGCATAGAAAACACACAGACCGACACAAACAATCATATTCATGAATACAAACGTTTGTGCCGTGCGAGGAATCGAACCCGCGACCATCGGACGTAAAGCGGTGTGCTAGACCGCTATACCACCGAGGTTATAAGAAATTATAAGTTCTTGACTTGACTACGACTGTGTGACCCCTCCTGGGCCAAAGCTGGAGCCACCCTTGTGTATAGATTAAATGATATAATTACGTTTAGACACACAAAAGACACGTACAAACTGACAAATATCATTTATAAAACCGTTGGAAAATCCACATCCACTCAAACGAAATAATCCCACACAGTTATTTGAAAACAATCACGGTACATGCATAAATTTAACACGAAATCATGTAAATAGAATAGAATAGAAAATAATATATTCAAATAAACTTAATTTAAGCACTTTTGAATAGTCATAACAATTTGTTTTTTATCTACCGCTCGTTCGGAAAGCTGTCTCATCACAAGAAGAACGAGCAAGAAACTTGTGTGTTGCTCTTTTAAATAATTTTATTCTTACTTACAATTTAAGTTTAAGTGTGCGAATACAAACTACCAATTAGCACTAATTCAATTAAATAATCAAATAGAAATAATATTTAATACACAACAACTGGTTAAACAATTAATAAGAGGAAATCAGTCATAGTGATAAGAGCAGACCAGTCCCTACAAGCAGCACTCGTTCACGAATATGACGGATGAGCCAGTCACTGCGCTCGACAATATTTTAGGGCGCCCAATGACCCGGCCCACCACGCCGCCACAAGTCTGGACATTTTAGTGAGCATGACTACTCAAAAACATAGACTACGTCATAGCTCAGTGGCAAAACAGCAACACACAAGTTTCGTGCTCTTTTAAATGAATTGATTTACTTATTGATTGTCGCATGCAATTATATGCAAATAAGTAAATTAATATTTATTTAAAAGAGCAAGAAACTTGTGTGTTGCTATTTTGCTACTTGCTACGCACTTAATCTCTGTTCATACAGATAACATTGTCAGCGCTATGAATTTTAAGTTAGATATTTTCTACAAAAACATTATTATCATTTATAAATTCTTCAATTTTATATTAAGCTTTTTTACAAAGAAAATATTAACACATTTGAATATTTTTCTGGCAAATTGAGTACAGAGACTTTATTATAGAAAGGTATGTATATATAAGTACATAATAGTGTTATGAGGTATACGTAACGGAATGGTTATGCTTCTAATATTGTGTGAGCCTCATAGTCCAAGAGCCCACGACTGCCAGACATACGTCATTTTAGTAAACGTGAAAGTTCTTGTATGTGTGTCCCCAACACAGGTAAGAACGATCCCCAAACATGAAACCTGGATCGTGGTTCCTTTGGCAGGTACCAGGTAACAAAGGTGTAAAAAAAATCATATCAAATTCGTTATTTTAAGAAACTCCATATTTTCATATATTGTTCGTAGCATTATTATAACTTGCGCTGCTCATTGCCAGACACTTAGTGTGGTCCCAACCCCCGCCGGACCCCCCTAAACTATACTATTTTAGAAATAAATTTACGTCATTTTAATAAAGCTGAAATTTATATATATTATTGAGAGTTCTCTCAAACTGAGCAAGAGCAAGTTATAATACTGTTACGAGCAATATGTGAAAAAATGGAGCATCTTAAAATAACGAATTTGATATGAAATTGTATACACCGTTGTTACCCAATATACGGTTTCAATGAGTCTGGTATGATAAGGAACCAAGAAAACTGTCTGGCAATTTAGGAAACTTAGTTTAATAGTTCTCTCAATAATATATATAAATTTCAGCTTTATTAAAATGACGTAAGTTTATTTATAAAATAGTATAGTTTAGGGGCGTCCGGCGGGGGATTCGAACCATATTAAGTGTCTGGCAATGAGCAGCGCAAGTTATAATAATGCTACGAACAATATATGAAAATATGGAGTTTCTTAAAATAACGAATTTGATATGATTTTTTTTACACCTTTGTTACCTAGTACCTGCCAAAGGAACCACGATCCAGGTTTCATGTTTGGGGATCATTCTTACCTGTGTTGGGGACACGCATACAAGAACTTTCACGTTTACTAAAATGACGTATGTCTGGCCGTCGTGGGCTCTTGCTCTATCAGCTGGCCGGACAATGGGACATGTCCACAGCCGTTCGTCATCCAATGAAGCTAATTACCCGCTCAATTTACTGCAATATGGACAACACAACTCACTCGTTAGCAGATCAGATCACTCCTACAGTTCACTTCGAGATATATACGAGTATCTGTAATAGAACGAGATAACATTATATTAAGTGCAGTGTGTGAAAGTGAGACAAGTTATATTTTGGTGATTATTTGTGGTATTTTTTTATATATAGTAATACTAGCTACTCGCCCCGGCTTCGGATGTACATGTATTATATATATAATATATAAACCTTCCTCTTGAATCACTCTATCTATTAAAAAAACCGCTTCAAAATCCGTTGCGTAGTTTTAAAGATTTAAGCATACATAGCGAAGGACAGACAGTGACAGCGACTTTATTTTATACTAGCTTTTTCTCATCTCCCCTCTTAAGGAGTGGAGATGACAACTTACCCCCGGCAGAAGCACAGACGGCCGGTATTCAGAGCCCCAGGGAGAGAAACCGGCGTACAATGCGGGCAGAATCTAAGAGCACCGCTTTTTGCATCTTTCCCGGGACAGACAGCGACAGCGACTTTGTTTTATACTATGTAATGTTTAGAAAGCTTGTTTGTTTGAGCGCCCTAATCTCAGGAACTACTGGTTCGAATTGTAAAATTCTTTTTGTGTTGGATAGTCCATTTGTTGATAAGTCTTTAAGCTATATAACATTACGCTACGACCAATAGGAGCGGAGCTGCAATGTTAATAAAGGAACTGCATCTTATCACTACGACTGATTTAATCTTATTGCATATTTATATTTGACCCAAAAATTAGTGCTTGTTGGTAGTTTGTATTCACACGTTTCTACTTGTAAATGTAAACTTACAAGGATTATTTAAAAGAGCAACACACAAGTTTCTTGCTCGTTCTTCTTGATGAGACAGCTTTCCGAACGAGTGGTAGATAAAAAACAAATTGTTATGACTATTCAAAAGTGCTTAAATTAAGTTTATTTGAATAAATGATTTTCTATTCTATTCTATTCTAATATTGCAAAAGGTGAGGAAATGAAACGCAGACAATGTTGCTCGGGTCATTTTCATTTAACGACCTCGGTGATCTAGCGATTTACCACACCGCCTTACTACCTATGGTCGCGGGTTCGATTCCTCGCACGGTACAAACATTTGTATTCATGAGTAAGATTGTTTGTATCGGTTTGGGTGTTTTCTATGTACAATATGTATGTATTTATTTAAAAGTTATCTAGCACCCATAAGCTTTAGCTAGCTTAACTTGGGTCTAGATGGCGTTGTGTGAATTGTCCTGAGATCATTATTATTATTATTTAAGTGTGGAGGCTTTCTGTATTTTACTTGTTTATACTTACACTTCTTGATAAATATACAGATGAGAGATCATTACATAGTATAAAACAAAGTCGCTGTCGCTGTCTGTCCGTCCCTATCTTTAAAACTACGCAACGGATTTTGAAGTGGTTTTTAACAGATAGAGTGATTCAAGAGGAACGTTTATATATATAATACATGTACACCGGACGAAGCCGGGGCGAGTGACTAGTATTTTTATAAATTCGATAATAAATATACTCGTCTTATCAGGCAATAACAGAAATAATATCAGATAGTGAAGACTGATGGAGAGATCAACGTTGAAAAAGATTGAAGATCTGAATGTGGATCGTGTGGTGAGGATATTGGAGTCAGTAGACCTTGCAGAATTTGCGGAGTTCGTGATAGAAAGAGACATAAACGGAAAGAAATTATTAGTGAGTAGACGTTTTTTTATTCTCAAGTCAACACTAGATTCTCAAGCTATATCCGAACTCTATTCAATGCCTCTGATGCCTAGTTCAGAGGCGAAACACATTTCTTTTTATTATTACTAGCTGTACTCGCGACTTCGTCCGCGTGGAGTTTAACTTTATTTTTCTAAAATACAAGCAGCCTAAATTACTCCTTATTACATCAGCTACCTGCCAAAAAAAGTTCCGTCAAAATCGGTCCAGCCATGTCAGAGATTAGCCGGAACAAATAGACAGACAAAAATTGTAAAGTGTTATTTTCGTGTAAGTACCGTATTTACATTCATATGCATGTAGTAAAAAACGGTTATTTCAATATTACAAACAGACACTCCAATTTTATTCATATGTATAGATATACTAGCCACCCACCCCGGCTTCGCACGGGTGTACATATATTATACATATAAACCTTCCTCTTGAATCACTCTATCTTTTAAAAAAAGCCGCTTCAAAATCCGTTGCGTAGTTTCAAAGATTTGATGTTGTTTTGTTGTGTTGATGGTGTTCCCTATGTGCATACATAGGGACGAACAGACAGCGACAGAGACTTATAATATATAGTTAAATTCCACTCGGACGAAGTCGCGGGTGCAGCTAGTATCAGATATAAATGCACTGAGTAGTAATGAGGATTCTCAGTGGACGCTCTGTAGTAATAAGGATTCTCAGCGGACGGTCTGACGTGGTGATGGGACCAACAAAACGTTTCATTGTCCCCCGAGGGATGGATGTCAATTACTTAAACATATTAAACATTCAGAAGACAAACACCGACCTCCTGACCCTTCATTAAAACTTGCCATGTCTAAACTATTCCACTAAACCAACGGTAATCTGCACTCATAAACTTGATAGCGTTCCACAGCTTAGACTATATATATATATATATATATACTAGCTGTCCCAACAAACGTTGTTTTGCCATAGAAATTAAATTATTCAAATAAATTTAATTTAAGCACTTTTGAATAGTCATAACAATTTGTTTTTTATCTACCACTCGTTCGGAAAACTGTCTCATCACAAGAAGAACGAGCAAGAAACTTGTGTGTTGCTCTTTTAAATAATCCTTGTTAATTTACATTTACAAGTCGAAACGTGTGAATACAAACTACTAAATAGCACTAATTTTTTTGGGTCAAATATAAATATACAATAAGATTAAATCAGTCGTAGTGATAAGAGCAGACCAGTTCATACAAGCAGCACTTGTTCACGAGTATTACGGATGAGCCAGCCATCAATGCGCTCGACCATATTTTAGGGAGCCCAATGACCCGTCCCACCACGCCGCCACATGTCTGGACATTTTAGTGAGCATGACTACTCATTCCACTCGACCACGTCACATATAGCGATATTAATAATAATATCTCAGGACAATTTCAACACAAACAGTTCGTCATCTAGTCCCACGGTAAGTAGAACTCGTGTTATAGGTACTAGGCAACTGATAGAAATACTCCAATAAAAAAAAAGTTATTCAATTGAGTTTCTTGCCAGTTCTTCTCAATAGGATTTATATATACGAATACGAACTAGACGGTAGGGAAAAAATTAAAATTATAATGTAAAAATTTGACTTTCTCAAATAAAATGTCCTACCTGAATAAATAATTTTGAATTTGAATTGAAATACAACAAATCATATTCGTCTCTACAATTTTGTACCGTACGATCGATCCGTCCAATTCAATCGGGGATCGAAATTACGACGGCCTGAGCCGAGGTTCGAACCCCTACTGGTGCCCTCAGACTAAAGTTGTATCCGTCAGACAGGAGTTGGCCTTCAGCCGCTCCATAAGTCCTTCCGCGGGTTTGGAGTGCCATCTGCACTCACCCCTAACGTCCGGTGAAGCTGTAAAGGCCAGCTACGGCCAACAGCATTAGAATAGTTCGAAAAAAAAAACGAGGAATCGAACCGACAACGGTCGGCGGTAATTTGGTGTTATAAACCACTAGACTATCGGCGCCGTTGATATTAATAAATTAATTTATACAGCAAAACAACGTTTGCAGTATCTGCTAGTAATAATAATACTAACACAATCTCCAATAAATTGAAATTCATCCCAAACTGTATTTTGGATTTACGTTTCTGATAATAGCATCTTATATTTTGGTACAGCGGTTTGCAATCGCGAGTTTTTACTTTAAGCAACAAGATAAACAATTTTCTTCTGCCACGGGCGGTTTTCTTTGTATTTTGCGGTGAATTATCTTGTACACTTTCAAATATAAATCGGAACAGTTTGTTTTCCTGGCTTTTAGGAACATTAATAGACTTTGTTTATGTAACCAGAATAAATATACAACAAGCTAACGGCTTACGTTATGAAAGAAATAGAAATAGAAATAATCTTTATTCAAATAAACTCATTACAAGCACTTTTGAATAGTCATATTTTGATTCTACCGCTCATTCGGAATGCAGACTCATCACACGAAGAATGAGGAAGAAACTTGTATCTTACTGTTTTAAAAAAAAAAAATAGTTGATATAATATAATGCATAATAATGATCTCAGGACAATTCACATAGCGCCATCTAGACCCAAGTCAAGCGAGCTAAAGCTTGTGTTATAGGTACTAGATAACTGATACATATACATAGATATTTTTTTGTAAATACATACATATTATTCATAGACAACACCAAGACCGATACGAACAATCATAGTCATGAATACAAATATTTGTGCCGTGCGAGGAATCAAACCCGCGAACATCGATCGTAAAGCGGTGTGGTAGACCGCTAGACTACCGAGGTCGTCATATTAATATATATGCATAATAATCAACTCAGAAATATTCATCACGAGCATCTATGTTTCTACAGCTTATGGTATAGATATATACTAATAACTAATATCGGTAAATACTTATATTTTGGTGTACATACTCGTAATATACATAAAAAAAACATTCAGACTGATACAAATAATCATATTCATGAATACAAAAATTTTGTACCGTACGTGGAATTGAACCCGCAACCATCAGAAGTAAAGAGGTGTGTTTAACCGATAGATTACCGGAGTCGATGTCGTCAAATTTATTAGCATAACAAAGGACGATCAAAATTACTAAATATAAGAAGTTCAAATTTTCCTCGCAAGTTACTAACGTTAACATTAATTTTCAAAGCTTTGTGATGGCAAACAAGATAATGTACATTTCCCAAAAAACTCAAATTCAAGTTGTACCAAATAGAAGTTGATTGCAAACCACGAAAATATTAATTACAGTAAGTTTGCGAACACCAAAACAAAACATCCCATGCAGCAAGCCACCGACGAGCAAACTTTTTTAATTTAACCTATTAGTTTCCACAACACTGGACAATTTGTATTTGCTGTGTTAACTTTAACTCTTTCACAGTCAGAAAACATCAAACCAATTGAGGTGGCTGATTTGAAAAGTTTGAGCATTTTAAAAGTTAAAACTTCCCAAACTTATTTACTTTGTAATTTACAGGATGTCACAGAGGGAATTATTAAGTTATGGAGGCCGAGTGTCAATGCAAAAAGAATCGTATTATTTATTGAAGAATTTAAATTAAATCCTGACAAATTCATCAAAAGTTTGGACACAGATTTAGATGTTATTACAGAGACGGAATCGAAAAGTATTTCTGTGGAATGTCAATATCAAACAGTGCCTGCAAGAAGACTCAGAGAAGACATGGCATCGACAACGTTAACGAACGTAGAAGAACTATTGAAAAGGTTGGTGCCAGCAAAGAGTTTCTTATACCGAAACCAGCCAAGGAAAATCGAGAAGTCAGTTCCCTCTTACATGCCCATGGATGGAGCACCAAAAAAGCCCAGAAGATTCTTCAGATTAAGCTCGTATGAGTACCCTCAATTGGACATTTTGTCGAGAACTTCAAAGAACGAGAGTTTCGATGACAGAGGCTACTATTCTGTGAAAACTAACAACAGATATTTCATACAGAAAACTTATAAGAGACAAGATTCGAAAACTAAATATAAATCACTATCAACTGCAGAGGAATTAAATGAGAAACTACCTGAAGATCATTTTTATGAAGACTTATGTTATAGTGACATGCACAATACTGAGAACAAGATAGAAAGTACAAGTTTTAATCAAGTCGCAACCGTGAAGCCTTGTATAGTGAAAATACAAGAACTGTTTCAATCATTCAAATTACCATTCTTTCGTAAAAATGAAACGATAAGTGATAAAAGTGATGTAAATGATAAACCTGAAGCAGAAATCGAAACTAACGTATATGAAAATGGTGACAATGTTGCCAATATGTATGACTCAGTACATGTTATTAGACCAGTAATACAAGGAAGTAATACAGAAAGGAATCAGGTATATAATAATACATTATTAAATCTCCAGTCATATATATTATAGCTATACCCGTGACCGCGTGGAATTTAACATTATTTTTATAAAATCAAAGTAGCCTAAATTACTCCTTATTACATCAGCTACTTGCCAAAAAAAGTCTCGTCTAAATCGGCCCAACCATTTCAGAGATTAGCCGGAACAAACAGACAGACAGACAAAAATTGAAAAAATATTATTTTGGTGTATGTACCGTATTTATATTCATATACATGTAGTAAAAAACGCTTATTTCAATATTACAAACAGACAGTCCAATTTTATTTATATGTATAGATATATATGTAAATTCTTTTAATTAAAACTAAACTAACTTTTGTAAACTTATCTACTTCCTCGTTAATTATGGAAAGCATGGCTGGCTTCTTGCCAACTCAACTGACAAAATCGTCTGGTTCTCACCAGACAGAACTATTGTCAAGATAAAATTTCCAGCTGAAGCTGTAGAGTTAGCTTCCATATGAGTGCTATTTGTAATTTGATTTCTGAAATTGATGGACGCTAATTATTTAGAATGAGATACTGACGTAAGTTTTAGATCTACCTTTGAATTAATTACAAAGTTTAATTAAAAAATTACACTGGAAAATTTACTCGAGAAGTTAGTGTCCATGTCCATGTCCATGTCCTATGCACGACAAGTATCTGCAGATTCTGCCAAACTGAAGAGGAAACGCCGCTTCACATCCTATATGGTTGTGGCCCACTCATGCATAAACGAAATATCTCCTTTGGAAAGTTTACACTCTTTCCCGAGGAGATAAAAACGATCGCTCCTAAGAATATCCTTCAATTCTTGTCCCTAACGGGTCTAGGTAGCGAACTCTGAAAAGGGCGAGCACAATAGATCTATGTAGGTCGCAGTGCTACAGGTGCTACACAGATGTGTAGCACAGATTGTCAGATGACAATAGCCCAAACAATCCAATAAAAATAACAAAAAAAAAATAGTTTCCATGGCGATTGTTGGTCATATTAAGCCTGGATTTTCAATATACCACAGTGAAATTACTACAAAAGAGGCATGATGGAGACTAAGATAGTCCTTCGAAATGGCCCCAAACATGATCTCTCTTAAGTAAAATCATTTATTCATGATTTTACTTTGATTTCGATATATGCAATCAGTTCCCGACTATTTTCCACGAGCGTCAATTTATCTGCTATTTTATTTTATACAATTTACAATTTGTTCCAGTCCACGTTGCCAGTTGAAGACTATCTAGAACCTATACAATTAAATAAGGATTACTGCGACGTAACAGTAAGAGAGAGGGATGACTCGTTGCTCGGGTACATCATGAGTATCTTCGATAACAGATTCGGCTTCAGACGTGGTAAGTGATTAACTTACAGTATTTCTCATTAATATTAGTTCCGCAAAGTATAATAGATGTAGCTACCTCATTTATGTCTAAACCAGCTGTGTCCACGGTTTTATCCGCATGCAATTTGTTGCCTATATGTTATTGTGATGTATAAGCTATTATTACTGCACACTTTCATCAAAATTCGTTTAGTAGTTTTTGCGTGAAATACTAATAAACGTCCTTCTATCGATCTATCCACCTATACTCAGACACTTTTGCGACTACAATATTGGTAAGATTCTAAAACGCGGTGGCAAGATGCTTTTATATTATATGACTAGCTGTTCCTGCGACTTCGTTCGCGTGGAATTTAACTTTATTTTTCTAAAATAAAAGTAGCCTAAAATAAAATAATTTTGTTCGTCTTAATTTATTCGTTCCATTAGGTACTGATAGGTTTAAACTAATAGATTTACATCCTGCATCATTCCTTATTTTATCCCCATGGGGGTTGAATTTATCAAATTCCTATTTAAGCGAACGTCTTTATTATAGTAGCTCCAATCTTTAATTTCAGTTCAATCAGTTGAAAAACTAAGAAGATTTATACAAACTTTCATCCTCTATTTTATCCCCTTAGGGGTGGAATTAATCAAAATCCTTTCTTAACGGATGCCTACGTCATAGATATTATGACTTAGGCATCCGTGATAAATTCTTGGTGAGTTTGTCATGATGGGCGGACTTTGATCGCCACTAGAGAAGGTGTGGTCTCACACATGCTAATTGTAGCGAAATTAAACAAAATAATATAAATCCATCGAGTACTGAAATGGACTTCCGCAAAATAACACCTAATTCGATTAAATAAATTATATTTTGGTTATGCCAAGATAAATACAATTACTCAATATGTAGTTCATCATTCCATCATCAAAAATCGTCTATAATAGACGCATAGGCCATTATAGTTCACCATTGCCTTGCCTTTATCCCATTATTTGTGGTCGGCGCAGTGTCATTCTCTTCCACTGCTCTCTATCGGTCGTCATATCTGAGCATACTCTTCTTTTATTCATATCATCTTTCACACAATCCATCCATCTTTTCTTAGTGCGTCCCCTCATTTTACATCCATCCATCGTTACTCAATATGTAGTTGATAATAAATAATCACGAAATTATCCAACTGTAACATTGGGTGTATCAATAAATTTACAATGTAATGTTATAACATTAAATTTAGTGGAGATTGTCAAATTGCCTTACATTCACGGAGTGGTAATATGAAGTAATCTTATTTCATATAATTTCAGACACGGCTTAAAGTAGGGTCGCACTCACACCGTAACGCATGGATATTGTAATAATATTGCTATGTTTTTGTTTTTAAATTTATTTAATAAAGATAATAGTACAGTTGTAATAGAAATAGAAATAGAAATAATCTTTATTCAAATAAACTCATTACAAGCACTTTTGAATAGTCATATTTTGATTCTACCACTCATTCGGAATGCAGATTCATCACAAGAAGAATGAGCAAGAAACTTGTGTGTTGCTCTTTTTAATAGATGTTTTTTTAATATAAATAATTGCAGTATAACATAGAAGTCGCTACGCACTCATTATTAGTGTAATCAGATAATATTGTCAGTGCTATAGATTTAAAGTTTTTCTATAAAAACATTATTATCGTTAACGAATTCTTCAATTTTATAGTAAGCTTTTTTGCAAAGGAACTGTTTTATTTGACATTTAAATCTTTTTTCTGGCAGATTTATAACAGACTCTGGTATTTTATTGTAAAACCTTACGCAATTGCCATAAAACGAATTACTAACTTTAGCCAAACGACATTTAGATAAAATCAGTTCGTTATTGTTACGTAAGCTTTTATTAGTGCAATCACTAACTCTTTCAAAACTGTCTATATTCCTTCTTGTTTTTATACATTGACTTGCCAAACTGTAGAACAGTTTGTTGGCAAGATATCGCTCAGTTTTTTTTAAATACTATTCTTCCCATAAACTTCTATCCACATAAATACACGTTTTTACAGATAGTTACATGCAATTACAATTTTTGTTTTTAAAGTCTATCTAAAAATCTCTTTTTAATTTTGATTTCAGTACTGGTCTACTTAAATTAGAATTTCGTTGTAACCCATCTAAATTGTTATAAATTTTTGGAACCAAAAATCCCGTAATAATTGATAGCTCTCGGTTGAACAAATTTACTCTTCGTGTTATTTCTGGTATTATATATATTATTTATTACAATTTTGTGTTCATTATTATGTACTTAGCTTAGGTCCGTACATACCTGAGGCACCACCACACAACTAGGCCCCTGGAGGCGCACGCGTGTACCCACGCGCCTCCACGAGAAGGTAGGGTGCAAGTCATAGCACCCTAACCAGAGAGAGGGGGCCTGTCCTACAACATCTACAGGACAGGCCAAGCCGCCGAAGTCTGGGTTGAGTGCCAAGTGCGAACCACGGACTTCGGCCCGCGGCACCTCGAGGAATACCGTGTGGTTTTATAGTGGGTGCGAGTCCCACACATCACCTCGCCATCCCTCCGGCGGGGTGACGGTCTTGTTGAAGATTTTTTCACACGTTAAAAAAAAAGGCCCATAAAAAAGTAATAATAATAAAAAACTGAAGAAAAAGAGAAAATATCTCGATCTGACTCACGAGGTGACCGAAATGTGGGGGGTGATGTCCACCGAAATCATTCCAATCGTTATGTCAGTGAACGGTCTTATCCCAACCAGTCTGGAACAACATCTCAGATGGTTGGGATTTCGAGGCGGCTCACGGGATGATGCAAAAAGCGGTGCTCTTAGATTCTGCCCGCATTGTACGCCGGTTTCTCTCCCTGGGGCTCTGAATCCCGGCCGTCTGTGCTTCTGCCGGGGGTAAGTTGTCATCTCCACTCCTTAAGAGGGGAGATGAGAAAAAGCTAGTATAAAATAAAGTCGCTGTCGCTGTCTGTCCTTCGCTATGTATGCTTAAATCTTTAAAACTACGCAATGGATTTTGAAGGGGTTTTCTTTAATAGATATAGTGATTCAAGAGGAAGGTTTATATATATATATATAACACATGTACACTCGTACGAAACCAGGGCGAGTAGCTAGTATAGTATAAAGTGAAGTTCCTTCCGCTGTCTGTTCACTTAGATTTTTTAGACTACACAACGGATTTTAATGCAGTTTTTAGCAGGAGATAGAGTATTTCAAGAGTAAAGTTTATATGTATAATACATGTACACTTGAGCGAAGCCGGGGCGAGTAGCTATGTACAAACTAGAAACATTTCCTCTTCCGTTCAGTTCCAATGACATTAATCCACTGTACAAACTTACGAATAACTAATGTATCGCGGCTGCTAACTTTGATACACAACGAAAACTTAACTTCTAATAAGAGTCTGTCTGTATGTAAATAGAAGAGAAGTTATCTGATTAATCCCTACACGTAGAATGCTTTTGTAATTTGAACTTTTGCAATTATGTAAAGCAGACGCTAACTTATCGTATTCGCTTGTTTAAGTTAGAAATCTGCTTTTTATTCGAAGTGAAAACTTTTTTTCGGTTTTAATTTTAATACCTTTATGCTACTGACTGTACCTCGGATGTCGATGTACAAAAATACAAAAGACATTAAATAATATTAACATACATACGGAACACTTAAAAAAGGCAATAACACATTTACAAAACTACAATAACATAGTTCATCAACTGCTTCTTTCCTTATCCCATTTATTTGTGGTCGTCGTAATATGTTTTTCTCTTCCATTCATCTCTGTTGTCATCTCGTTACTTCCTTTCTTACCATATCATCTTTCACACAGTCCATCCATCTTTTTCGGCCTTCCTCTGCCCTTATAACCATCCACATTCATATATAACACCTTCCTTAAAATATTATCCTCGTTCCTACGCATTACATGTCCATACCATGATAGACGATTACTCTTCAACCTCTCTGACACCGGTGCTACTTTCATACTTTCTCTAAGGAAAAACAAATTTTAAGTAATTGAGAAACTGAATTAACTTAATATACGAGTATCATAGTCGCATGGGTGCCTATGGGCTTGTACTCCTATATATTATTACGTACTGACGACCTCGGTGGTCTAGCGGTCTGGCACACCGCTTTTCGTCCGATGGTCGTGGGTTCGATTCCACGCACGGTACAAATATTTTTATTCATGAGTATGATTGTTTGTATCGGTCTGGGTGTTTTCTATGTATAATATGTATGTATTTACGAAAAAAAATATCTATGTATTTGTATCAGTTGTCTAGTACCCATAACACAAGCTTTACCTAGCTTAACTTGGGTCTAGATGGCGCTGTGTGAATTGTCCTGAGATTATTATTATTATCTTCGTCTTATTTCGTTACCTTTTTTCCTTTTGATACTGTTATAGTAACTGATTTTGGTTTTTGTGAGCATTGAATATTGTAATTCATTTTATATATATTTATATTTGTGTATCCTAGATCTTATTTAATATATTTTTTTGTGTTTATGATGGGGACCCACTGAAACGATATTTAGAATATAAAAAAGTATCTAGAATCTTTAAAAACCTATCATAAGGTTGGCAACCCTGAGATCAATCAACACATGCAAGTGCGCGTCTATTGAAAGGAACAGGGAATTTCTGGTCGCTTGTTTTCGGTCGGTGTATTATTTTGGTTGAGTAATATAATTAGGTAGGCCTCTAAGTAGATTTAGCCCGGGGCCCCACAAATTCACGATCCGCCCCTGGTACTTCCGTTTGTCTTTTGAATATAATACTGTAAGTTTTCAAGCAAGCAATTCTCCGTTGGCTAGCAGTTTAGCACACCGTTTTACCGGTCGCGTGTTCGAGTCCTCGCACGGCACAAACATTTGTATTCATAAGTATGATTTTTTGTATCGGTCTGGGTGTTTTCTATGTATAATATGTATGTACGAACAAAAAAATTATCTATGTATTTGTATCAGTTATCTAGTACCACACA